CAGATGACCTGACTGAACATTGTTGGGTTTCCATAAAAAATGTAAAAAACTGTTTTTCACTCAAAAGCAGCCCTTTGTTGCAGCTGAGCTTTCTTTCGTTGTACTTCTGATATTCAGATGTAGCCTGACGTCGTGCTGGCGACACGATGACTCCTCGCCCGCAGACTGAAGAGGACAGAGGGAGGCAGAGAAACATGGAGCTGTTGGACTGAAACAGTGAAAGGACTCTCAGCACATCTTTCTTCTTTCCTCCTCCTGCACTTTCCTCCGATGCCTCCAGAGATTTCTGTAAATCACCCCAGAAGGAGGTCCGTTTCCTTCGGCACATTTAGGAACGAGCTTGTCTGTCTCCCAACAACCAGTCGTGGTGGTTGCTGTCGGTGCAGCCTCCATGTTCCGCCCTGAAATCACAGGTCATTCCAACTCCTCCTACGTGATGCGAGTGTGAAGACAAATCCTAAAATCATGTAAACTGAAATCAATTAGGTCTCCTGCTATAATATCTGAAGTTTGTTGCTGCAGACGTCCTTTAATCAGATCTTTATAAGTGGAACACGCAGCAGAGGCTCAGAATGAGTTTATTTATTCTTTGATTGAAACCTTGTAATTCTCGTGTTTCAACATTTCAGAGATGCATCGACAGCTCAACGTTTCAGAATACTTGAACGAGTCTTGTAATATAAAATTCTGCTGCATCTAGTGTTTAAAACTAGAAGTTATTGGGGTGAGACGGGGGGTGTTTGAGTATTACAGGCTTTAGGTTTAATGATGAAATTAAAATAACTTCTCAGGCAACAGAGATAGGATGTAAACTTCTGATTCTTCTTTAGTTTTATTTGCTGTACAGATAAAACGTCAACTCTTTTTGTTTTAATTTAAGAAGTCTTTTGAATTTCAGCCCATTTGTTGACTCTTTACACCTAAACCTTGTCGAAGCTGCAGCTGACATCATTCTCAGCTGCTGGGTACGTTGGAGAACTTTTGTAACTTCACCTTGAGTTAAAAGCTAACCTTAGTTGTGGTCAAACCAGCACATGGATTAAATTTGATTTGATGCAAAAATGCTGCTAACTTGATGCTTCACAGCATCATGGCTGTGAAGCGATTACAGCCATTCCTAACACAAGCTTTAACTTTCAGGCTGTTTTGTCCAAATCTAATAACTGAATTTGATGCTATTAAATAATAATGACTAATAGAGCGGTCATGCTATTTTCAACAGGGTTTTTTTTTTTTGTTGCTTACATCAAAACAAAATAACCGTCCAGTAGTGCGGGTTCTGTCAAATGTACAGAACAGGCTGTTACCTAGCTTTGTTCTTTAAATTATGCAGTGTTTATTTTATTTAACTTGAGACCATCAATTATTAAAAACTTACAAACCTGTGACTTCAGATGGCAGGGGACAGGTTGAGTTATTTGTACTTCTAGTACTGAAATATCTGTACAGTTATATTTGGCAAGCAAATAAAACTTTTGAATGGATAACATTCACAAATATTGTCCTGGAATTATTTTTTTGTCTACCTTTTTGAGGAAACGCTGCAGTGCATATGGACAACATGGGTGACATTCTGCACATTTATTCTAGTAGAGAGCAGTACAGCTAATATCACACAGCAAGAAGGTGAAACGTCTGAGTACTAAGTACTGAGATTATCAACTTTTTACATGTAAGGTGGAAAACATAAAAAAATACATTTTAGAATCGAGAATAGTGGACAGAAAAATAGGAGGAAAAACTTTACAAAACTTTTAATCTATATTCACATAATTCATTCCTGAAGACGTGACCAAGCTCTCATGTTGTCTCATAGCTCATAACGCCCGCTCCAGAACCAGTCTGTGCCTCACAGCGCTTCAGCTTCACCAGTAGAAGGTTTTTGTGAGGAAACTGGCAGCTGTGTTGAGCCAGCTCCCGTTGGTATCTTCCTTGGCTGCGGTGCGGGAAATTGCTCGGTCGACCTCCCTCTGGGGATTCTCCTCGTCCTCCGGGAGGTAATCTGGAAGGACTGAGTTTTGCTGAACCTGCGCTCCACTCGAGATCAGAGGAATGTAAACCTGAGCACAAAGTTGTGAGAGAAGACAGAACAGATGGTTCTGTGTGAACCTGTGCTTACAGCTACACTTTTTTAACCAGTACATTCTAAAAATGTTTACTTCAAAGTCATTCACCTCTTCACCTGCCTCATTTTTCACCACCTGCTGAGCTGACAGCACCTTGGTGGCAGCGATGGCCGTTCCCAGACTCTGTAAAATAGGAGAAATTATGGAATCTGAGTCTAAACATTTTAACAAAAGAAGAAGCCGTCCAGAGGACCTGACTCAAGCTCGTTAGATTCATCTACTTGGATTATACAACATGGATCAGGACATTGTGGAAGAATGTTTGCATGCATGTCAGCTTAATGGGACAAACTATTTTAAGCCTATTTTTTCTCTATAAATCCATGTAAGTCCATCTAAACTGAAAAAAGCCCATCTCTTACCTCAGTGGGGAGGTCTGAACGGATGCGGACCGTACATCTCTTGGAGGCCATTTGAAAAGTGAAGCTAATCACACCTTTGACTTTCAGGAGAGCCTCCTCACACAAGCTTCGCTGGTTCTTGAAAACAAAGAGCATGTGAATTACCGTCAAGGTTTTAGGAATAGCTTTTTACAGATGAAGGAGTTTGGCTTACAGTGCTGTCCAGTCCGTGGATGTGTAATGTGACAGACTTGGCCTTCTTGTTGGAGGAGTTGATGAAGAACTGAGACTTCTTTCTTCTCTGTCTCTCTGGTGTGCGGGGAGCGGGATTATTAGGTGCACTCAGAATGTCGTAAACCTCTTTAGCCAAAGCTGTAATGTCAACAGACTGACCATCTCTGTATGGAAACATTTACATATCATGTAGTTTGTATTAACCACAATATGCATATCAGTGAGAGTTAAAATATTTTGCATGGCTAATGACGAACTTTGTTGTAATCTTTAAAAATTGTCTTGGTCAGTAACTCTACAGGGCTTTTTAAAGGCCTTTGACAGTTTATTTTTACACTTTAGTTTGGCTGCTGCTTCATTTATTTTCAGTCCAGTTCTTGTACCTGACCTTGACAGCATATGGTTTGTGATCAAGTTGAGAACAAAAGGAGACGTCAGGCCTAAGAACAATCTACACCAGATAAACAGTATCTGAAATGTCTCGTCTAAAAACAAAAATCACTCAAAGTTTGGAAGGTACTGAGAGATGCATCTTTCAGCTGATCATACACTTTGTGTCAAGTTTTCAGTTTATTGATGCTAAAATGTTTTTGTCAAATTCTGCTTTTTTTATTACACTTTCCACAGACTTGACTATAAAATTGTAATGAATTGTCTCTGTGACAGTATGAGTCAACACAACTTAATAGTTATTAGACTAGAAATGAATCAATAGGAAAATGATGTACACAGAAAAACTTTGAAATACTGTATCTTAGTCTGGTGAACTCGGCAATAAAAAACACTTTGAAACTTTGAAAGGATCATTGTTGTTCCTTTCTTTAAACATAAAATGGACATAAGGATGACTCAGAACGGTTACAGTATTGTCTTGTAGTTTTAAAAGCAATTATTGCAAATCGTCTGACCTTCCAAATAAATTCTCCAGGCTCACCATCATACCCAGTTCATTCTTCATGATGGGGATGTTGCGAGGCAGTTCAGCCAAATAACGCAGAGTCTGATGGCAAACAAAAGGATTCTTATTCACAAAAACAGTGATTTTATATATATATATTTATTTTCTTAATCATCCATCCATCCATGACTGGACCTGTAGGGTTGAGAACAGCACTTCCGGATTCTTGTGATCCAGGAAAAGAACCAGCCCAGGAAGACAGCCTTGGTCCTCGACTATCACCTGTCGGTTCTGCGGCTCAGAGGCCAAATCCCGCAGCTGACAAACCACCGACAGAGCATCCATCATCTTTGGAAACCTTTCTGGACCTGAAACCCAGGCGGATGTTTTTTTTTTTGTTGTTGTTTGTTTGTTTTACACACTGATGTTGGAACGTTTAAATCTCAAGAAGGCAAAAACAAAATAAATGGATGATGTTACAAAAATTAATGTGTTAAACACTCAAATAACTAAATAAATCGTTCATAAATGCTAGATGGTTAAACGTTGACCTGTCAACACTGCACTGTTGTAGCTAGCTGTTAGCTAACGAAGCTAACATCGTTGAGACTCGGCTCAACTTTGCATAAATGTAATGGAATAATTAAAATGCACCGTTTAGACTACAAAACAAAAAAATAATAATTTATACCACGTTAAATCCCTTGTAAAACAAACGTAGATTCAGTAAAGTGACGTTTTCTTACCGAGTAGAAGCAGCAGCTCGTGCACAAAAATACAAATTTGGTGCTTTTTTTTTTCCCCTTGTCACGTCATTGGTCGTCCAACCGTTGACGACGCTTTAAGATCAGCATCTCCTATTGGCTGCGCACTTTACTTCTGCTTCCGCAGCCAATCAGAAAAGGTTTTGCTGCTGCGGCTTTATTTGACTTGATTTGGTGCGCGACTACACGAGGAAAGTGGTTAATTTAAAGTTATATCGCTGTACAAATACTCTCCCCTTTCCAGAAAAATAATTGGGGAGACGTGTAGTTATTGATACACAGCTTCTTTAGAAGGAAGAAAACACGGTAAGTGTTTTTATTTTATTCCTCATGTTTACTGTCGCGTTCAGGTACGCTAGTTTTGATGATCTGTGCAGCTTCTCGCTCTGCGGTATCCGCATTGCTCAACCAGGACCGTTTTTGTTGTTTTAACCAAAAGTTCGCTTTAAATCTCACATTTGCACATATATAGAGTGGGGGTTATTGTCAAAATGTATACAATGGACTGAACGTAGATCCAGCAGACTCCTGGAGCTTCAGTTTGTGTTGCCACCACCAGCCGGGTGATAAAAATCTAATGTTTGTTTTGTTTTGTGTGTGTTTAATGTCGTCTTTACGTCTTGTTAACATTTCATGCAATATAATAGAATATGTAGGAGCGAAAACCGTCAGTTTGTTGGTATATTAGACTATAAAGTGGGTGATTGTAAAAGAAAAAACATGCATTTTATTTTAAGACACCATCACTTAGGTGTACAGTACTATTAAAGTGCATTATTGTATACTTAAGTTTGGGAGCATAGTGTTGGTTAAATTAAATAAAACTTGACTGCAAGCTTCTTTTTCATATATTTTGTATGTTTTCTTATTGTTTCAGGGGTGCAGTATGTGACTTGTGTGTATTTTGGCCTCCCACCAAGTCAGTCAGCAGAAAGAGAAGCTTTGCACTCGTCAGCTTGTGAAGACGAGAAGTCCTTGAGATGTCCTTAGTTGATGATATTCTGGATGTGCTGTGCATGGTCCTGGAGTATTTTGGTGTACATCCAGACATGGTAAGCGCACGGATGCACATAGTTAACCATCTTTCTTCAATCTGCAATGAAAGAGTGATAAAGCTGACATAGATGCCAAGGCGATGTATCCCTTCACTTTCTAACTGTGACCAAAGTAAAATTATATTCATAAATATATACGTTTATTGTTGTTGATTTGTATGCTTCATCTTGACTGTAGCTGGTTCCTGTGTGGGCTAGTCCTCTGTGTGGTCCGTATCGCAGCGTTGTGAGGATGATCGGGTCCAATCTCCCACTGGCACCAACTCCACGCGTCCACTTTCAGGTACTGTCCAACCTTCTTGGATGCTTTGTATAAAAGGTACAAGTTGGCTTTTACCCAATAAAACGTGTGACATGTGCTGACAAAGAAAACATTTATTATTTTAGTGTATTATCTTTATTTTGTATTCTTTACACACACAGTGATGTAGAACTGCAATATTTTATCCCCCGAAGCATCTAGTTAATGAAATTACACTCGTGTTATCAGTTATATAACATAAACTGTAAATAAAATTTAAATTAAAACATCATGTCTGCTGTCATGTTGTTGTCTATATTTTAGGGTCCCATCTCTCTGTGTTTATGTTTTCTTCCCCTTCAGATTCCTCTGGTTACTAACAGGCCATATGGATACGTTGATACAGTGGACACACCAGCAGTCCCCTCGTTCGCTGATGTCCAGTGGGTATTTGATGATGAAGGGGAGAGTTTTGCCAGGACCAGGTAAAAACACAAAAGGATACAGTTCAAATACCCAAATGAAGTCATCCATCCATCATCTTCCGCTTGTTCCAAAGTCGGGTCGTGGAGGCAGCAGCTTGAGCAGGGAGGCTCAGACATCTCTTTCCACAGCCACCTCTTCCAGCTCTTCTGAGAGGATTCCAAGGCGTTGCCAGGCCAACCAAGAGACATAGTCTCTCCAGCGTGTCCTGGGTCTTCCTCGGGGTCTCCTCCCAGTCGTACATGCCCCAAGCACCTCCCTAGGGAGGCGCACAGGAAGCATCTTTACCAGATGCCTGAACCACCTCAAATGACTCCTCGATGTACAGGAGCAGCGGTTCTACTCGGAGTCTCTGCCAGATAACTGAACTTTTCACCTCTAAGGGAGAGTCCAGCTACCCTGCAGAGGAAACTCATTTCAACTGCCTGTGTCCACGATCTCATTCTTTCAGTCACTACTCAGAATTCATGACCATAGATGGGGGTAGGAAGGAACATAGACCGACTGGTAAACGGACAGCTTCGCCTAACATCTCAGCTCCCTCTTCACCACAATGGACTGGCACAGAGTCTGCAATACCACAGACACTGCACCAATCCATCTGTCAGTCTCGCGCTCCGTTCTTCACTCACTCGTGAACAAAACCCGGAGCTACATGAACTCCTCCACTTGAGGCAGAACCTCACCCTCGACCTGAAGAGAACAATCCACCCTTTTCCGACTGAGGACCATGGCCTCAGATGTGGAGATGCTGATTCTCATCTCAGTAAAGAGCTGCTTTCCCCTGATCAGCCACCTGATGGTTTGCCAGAATCTCCTCGGAGCCGACCGAGAGTCTTTAACCAAGGTAGGGCTGGGCGATATCTCGATAATTTTAAAATATCGAGATTATTTCAAATGCGATATAAAATGAGACTATATCGATATAAAACGATCTAGTCTCATACTCTACTTAGAGTTATAATTATACTTGAAAATCCACCAGTAAAGCTAAGTTTAGATATGTCTTTGTGGACTCGCAGTGGGAGAGCCACTTTAAATTCCTGATCGGTGTGAAAATGACCGTGTAGCTGCTACAAAGGAGAGGTTTGGTGCTCTCCAGGAAATGAACTGGTTTAGAGCAGCAAGGTGTGATGTTGTCTTCTCATTAAAAAGCACAGAGACAAATATCCAGTTTAGGGTGATTTATTTGCTGTGTTTCTTCTGGTATTTAAACACAGCAGTAAACTTGCACAAACGAGCTCGAGGCAGCTATCTCAACAACTGAGGCGCGGAACATGGCCCACTTGGACTCGATGTCCTCCGCCTCAGCTGGGATGCTGTTAAGGCTCTCCCGGAGGTGTGAGTTGAAGATCGTTCTGATGAGTTCTTCTGGCAGGCATTCCCAGCAAACCCTCACTACACATTTGGGTCTACCGGGTCTGTCCGGCATCTTTCCCTGCCATCTGATCCAGCTCACTACCCGGTGATGATCCATTGACAGTTCAGCTCCTCTCTTCACCTGAGTGTCCAAAACAAATGGTCTCAAATCAAATGACACGATTACAAAGTTGATCATCGATCTATGACCTAGGGCGTCCTGGTGCCAAGGCAGAAACAACAGTCAAAGCCCACCCCCCCACCTGAAGGTGCAGGGAAGCCACCCTCTCATCTACAGGGGAAAACACACGGCAATGTGGCAATGTGAAAATTGATTCATAAAAAAAAACAATGTATTTTCCGCTGTAAACGTTGCACCGCCCTATAAGTCGCATCATTCCAAATATGTCTAATAAAGTGGAAAAATTAATAAATATGTCACTTTGCCATATACGATGCATCTATTACGTATCACTGCTGACACGTCGTGTTTGTTACGCGTCACCGCTGACAACCCGGAAATGTGGGCCGGTGTTGTGCCAAAAACTGATTGGTTGCCAAATGGCGACCACGGGAGCGTGCACTGGAGGACTTTGACAAGAATTTAACGTGATTAACGCTTAAAAACAATTTTTAAAACGATTATTTGTTTGATTGAAATTATAGCAAAGTGTGTCTCAGTTGAACTTTTACTTAGTAAATGCACTTCAGTGGTCAAATTAGCTGCATTTTGTCGATGAAGCAGATTCGGTTGCTCCAGGCAGACGACGGTGGTAGTTTATGGCAAGCCGGTTGTGTCATTAATAGCCACTTTTACCTATTACATGATGCAACGGCATGCCATACAACTCAACTGCCATCTAGCAGCTGAAAAATGGTAGTGTTCAATATTTTCAGTCGGAATGAATGAAAACGGTCATATCTCAGCCAGAAATGTATTTATAAATATGGGGGAAAATTAATAAATATGTCGCTTTGGCATATAAGTCGCAGGTCATGCAAATTATGCAAAAAAATGCGACTTATACAACGAAAAATATGGTAACATGTTTTACTATTTTCCATAAAATGTAATGCAGTAAGTAACTGAATGATTGCTGTGTTGGCTCAACAGGAACCATTTACCTCCAAAGAAGACCCAAGATCTGATCAGAAACCCTCGACTGCCTCCGACTCAAGCCCAGAGAGGAGGAACAGCTGTTAGACAGAAAACTAATCCCGAAGCCCTACAAAAGATCTCCGAGTTGGAGAGCGAACTGCTCAAACTCCGAGCTCAGATAGCCAGGATCGTTACTGCTGCTCCATGCTCGGGTACGAACGTTTTAAACTCTTCTTTAACAAAACAAACACGTGTAGAGAGGAAAAGAGATTTCAAAGATTGATATTTTAACATGTTTTAGGTCTTACCGAGTCCCAGAATCCTCCAGGTTCCCCTTTGATGTTCCCTTCTTCAGCGCCGGCTCTCACCTCCACGCCTCGCAGTGCTGCTGCTCCTCCTCCTCCTCCACCACCTCCACTTCCTCCCTGCATAACCACCTCCACCGAGACGGCATCCGTGTTAGAGCTGATCCAACAGCGCCACATAAAGGAAACCGATGCAGGTCTGCAGCAGACAAGGCTCAGCAAAGAGTTGAACAACAAACACCTTCCTTCCATGCTGGATGTTCTGAAGGACTTAAACCAAGTGAAACTGCGCTCAGTGCAAAGGTAGGCATTTAAAATGATAAAATATGTCATATTTGATCATTTTCCATAGAACAAATTTAATTTTTTTGGTCCATAGATCACCGGGGGGTACACCAGCCAGGCGGAGACGCAGTAGAAGAAGCGCTGCGCTGCTTAGCGACCCAGCAGCTCTCATTGCTGAGGCGTTAAAGAAGAAGTTCGCCCAGCATCGACACAACGTCTCCTCAGACAAGGAGAATTCGGTGGAGCTCTCTCCGTTTGGCAGTCCAGAATCACCTCAGGTTTGTCCCCAACAGAACCACGTTGTAACGTCTTTGTCCTGCGTGTGCAGAAATATGAGCCGGATTCTTTTCTTTCAGGTTTCTCTCCACAACAGACGCAGTCTGGGGCGCCGACATTTTTAATCTGTTTCAAGTGATGGCTTTGAACCCTCACAGTCACAAATGACCAGCAGCTCCAACAGATTTTGCCTTTTAACAAACTTCTGCAGCAGCTACTGGTTTACATTTTATTTTGGCTTTTAAATTGTTCAGGTTACTGTATGTGTTTGTCCCAGTAAAGTGTTCGTCTGCTTATCTCTGTTGGGATTGTGAGTGTTTTACCTTGTTGAAGCAGGTATCAAAATCCTGTTTTGTCTTTGTACATGGGAGTATTATTATTGTTGTTTTAAAGTTCTGTCTGTGCAGACCACCCTTTACAAGGAGTAATGTGATCATGTTTACACTGTTGGTTGTTTCTGCCTGCTTTTAATTTTTTCCCCCCCCAAGTCTTATCAATGAGGTCTTCAATTGAACCTCAGCCAGGTGAAAGAAATGACTAAAATCTTAGATTTATGGCTTTATTCTATGCAATTGTAAGTTGTTTCTATTTCATTAAAATTAACTGCACTATTTGGCTAATTTGTCTTTGTGAACCTTTTTGTCACAATGAACAAAAAATCAGGTCGTAATTTTTTTATTTATTTTTTTTATTTTACCCTCAAGGCTATTATCAGCTGAAGTATCTGTCTGGGATAGGATTTATTCTGGTTTACAGACTGTTATGATAAATGTGAAAGAAAACTTTAAACACAAAACTGGTTAGGAACTGTGTTATGTGAATTAAAACATCTGTAATATGTGACAGGTTGTTTTAGAGGAACTGTTGGAGCCAATGCTTTGGTCAAAACAGCAGATTTTTTTCCCCATCGCAGTTAGTGTAGTTTACGTCATAAACATCATCATTCTCCCAGCAGACAAAGGAAGGTGCACAGTGATTTTGAACCAGAAAGACTATCATGAGAAAGTTATGACACTCCTTAGTGACTTAACCACTTATGAACCTCTGAAAAGAGATCCAGGAAGTGGTTACAAGAAGAAGTTAATAGATTGCCTGAAAATTTTGGAGCAGGACAAGGCTATTGACCATATTCTGTACCACAGACTGTACCCAGGGGAGGCCACACCTAGTCTGTATGGTTTACCTAAAATCCACAAACAAGGTGTACCTTTAAGACCAATCGTTAGCATGATTAACTCTGTCACGTACAATGTTTCCAAATATCTGGCATCTGTACTCATCCCTTTAGTTGGCAGCTCACTCAGAACACCACATACAGAACACCATGGACTTTGTGGATAAGGTGAGGGATGTCATCATGGAGACTGATGAAACTATGGTCTCTTTTGATGTCACATCACTCTTTACGTGCATTCCTGTTGATGATGCAGTAGAGGTGGTCTGTTTAAAATTAAAATCAGACACCACTCTGAGCAGCAGAACCACACTTTCTACAGAACAACTGTGTCAACTCTTGAAACTGCCTGCAGTCAACCTACTTCACATATGGGGAGGAATATTATAGGCAGAAACATGGGTGTGCTATGGGGTCTCCAGTTTCTCCTATTGTTGCCAACCTGTACATGGAGGAGGTAGAAAAGAGAGCCTTGACGTCCTTTTCAGGGACACCACCAAGTCATTGGTTCAGGTATGTTGATGACACCTGGGTTAAAATTAAATCTCAGGAAGTCCAACATTTTACTGACCACATCAACTCAGTGGATAAATACATCAAGTTCACACGAGAATATGTAAAAAATGGCAGGTTGGCTTTCTTGGACTGTGAAGTCTCAGTCTCTGATAGAGGACATTTGCAAACTGAGGTGTACCGCAAACCCACCCACACAGACCAGTATTTGCAGTTTGACTCCCATCACCCTTTGGAGCACAAGTTAGGAGTCATCAGGACTCTGTATCACAGAGCAGACAGCGTCCCCACTAGCTCAGGAGCCAGGCAGAAGGAGAAATCCCACACAAGACAGGTTCTAGAGCAATGTGGATATCCTAACTGGGCCTTCCTGAAAGCAGAGAAGAAACCCAAACAGGACTCCAGTCAGCCAACAGGTGAATAGGAAGAACCCAGACCAGTGGTCATTCTGTATGTTGAGGGAGTATCAGAGAAACTGAGACGTTTATTTTCTAAACATAACGTCCCAGTGGCTTTTAAACCCCAAAATGCATTACAGCAAAGACTGGTTCATCCCAAAGATCCTGGCACAAACAGAGTAATATTGTGTATGCTGTTCAGTGTCAGGAGGGCTGTGATCAGTCTTACATCGGGGAAACTAAACAGCCACTGGCCAAAAGGATGGCCCAGCACAGAAGATCGACATCATCAGGCCAGGACTCTGCGGTCTACACTCATCTCCAGGCCAGCGGTCACTCTTTCAGGGATGAAGATGTTCACATCCTGGACAGAGAGGAACAATGGTTTGAGGGAGGAGTAAAGGAGGCCATCTTTGTGCAAAGAAATCGTCCATCATTAAACGGGTGGAGGCCTCCGGGTTCAATTGTCCCCCTCTTACAATGCTGTGATTGCTGGTATCACTCAACCCCCTTTGAATAGTAAACAGCCATCAGTGTGCTAATGATCCATTGTTAGGCTGATGGTCCTTCTTGACCATGTGAGCAGCTGGTTTTGGTTGTCAGCAGCAAACTGGTGCAATTTAAGAGACTGAGCTGAATACAGCACCTCAGACTGAGGAAGTCTTTTGGATGAAAGCCGAAACGTATCTAGATTTTTTTTTTGCTTTGTTTTGTTTTTTGTTTTTTGAATGTCCAGAGGACCAGATTTAACTTTTTTAGATTTTTCTACCTGGTTTATTGAGCAGGCTTCAGGATATTTAGTGTAGTTTAGTTTTATCATTGTCCACCACAAACTGTTCCATTCAGTACCACTAGAGGGAGCCCGAGTACTACAGTTGGGTCTTTGGGTTCCTGCAGTAGTATGCAGTACTCAAATTTTCTACCACTGCAGAAAGAAAATGAACATATTTTATTTTAAAATAAAAGTATGGTAGATTATATGTAGTTATTCTTTATTACAAAACAATCGTTACAAAATGACCTCAAACACAGCACTGGCACCAAAGAGTGAGGAAGGCGAGTGACGTGTATGTATGTCTGCAGAACAAATAAACTGAAGGAACTGTATTTTTGCAGGCACAATGCTCTAACAAGCCCAGCTTTCTTCTCTTAAACTGAATTATTGAAAATGACTAGCTGAAAATCCCGATCTTCAAAACTATCCAAAGTCAAATCTGAGTATCTGTTGGACAGGTAGAACTGGCCTTATCCAGAATAAACATTCAAAATATAAAATACACTTGTTACTTAGTTTCATTTACTGTTTCTTGCAAAAATAAATATATTGTTTTATTATATTGTAAACAAAACTGGAAAAATTGTGTTCATTAACCGAATTCTAAGTACCGAAGGATTTTGCTAAAGTAGCACAGCGCTAGATAAAATGGCTAAAGTCTAGTAAAAAGCTAAAAGTAACAAAAGGCTAGTTAAAAGGTACATATTGTAAAATGCTAGCTAAAATTGGCAAAAGTAGTTAAAAGCTAAATATAACTAAACGTTTGTTAAAAACTAGCACACTAGTAAGCATTTATATCAGCAAATGTTAAGACAAAGCAGAAAACAGCTAAAGTTAGCCAAAAAGTAAGCTGCAAAACATTGCTAAATTCAGCAAACAACTAGCTAAATGCTATGGTAGCAAAAAATTATTTAAAAGCTAAATGTTGCATTGGCTAGTTAAAATTAGCAAATGTTAACAAAGTTAATACTGAAGTAGCAGACCGCAAACTAAAAATAGAAAATAATAATGCTTGCTATAAGAGGCAAAAGTAGTTAAAGGTAGTAAACATTTAATTAAAAGCTAAATGTGATAAAAAGTTTGTTTAAAGCTAACTATTTAGAATTATATGAGCAAATGTTAAATAAAGGCTAAATGAAGCAAAACTACTGTATATCTAAAAGTTACTAAAGTTTAGATAAAAGTAGTTGCAAAAAGTTACCTAAATTCAGCAAAAGACTAGCTAAATGTTGTAGCAAAAAAAGATACCATTCATTTAACCTTTATTCATACAGGTTAGTCTCATTGAGTCACAAGTATTCATTTCGTTTTCAAAAGAGACCTGTTTTAGACAGACATCTAAAGTATGGACAACTATTCAATTTAAAGCAATTTAAAATAAAATAAAAGTTGTGTTATAAACACAGTCAAATCTAGGTGCCATATAAAACAAAGTATAAAATACTAGAAATATGAACGTGTTTGCTTTGATTTTTCTACTGACCTTATCAAATATTTAAAATCTTTTACAGGAATCAAAGTGGACAGCTTCAGTTCTTGTTGCAGTGTGTTCCAGGATACAGGAGCAGAGGAAGAAAAGGCCTTTTTGCCAAGTTCAGTCCGAAGAGGGAACGCTGCAGGTATTGAAGGCCTGAGAGCGCACGTTGTAACTGCACTGACGACATGTCCTGTAGGAACAAATATACAGGGAGGCAGCAGACCAAGGAGTGATTTCTAGATGAAAATGAACCAGTGTGAGAGCCTACATGTAGATAATGATGCTCAACTGACCAAGGAGTACAGCGTGCAGTGATGGGTAACGGTAGTAGTTATGAATCTTAGACAGCATCCAACATCTGCAAGGAGCTGGCAGGGGCATTCATGTTGTCACAATGGCTGGAAGGAAAGTGGCAGCTACAAGGTGTTTCCTGGATTCAGAGTTGAACAAGATATTTCTGAAAAAGAAACCCAGTTTCAGTTTCTTTATCACACTTTCAGCATGTGGCTTAAAAGAGAGATGTGCATCAATTAAAATTTCCAAGTAATTAAAATTCCCCAGTAAAGTACCTACCTCAAAGCTAAATGTTGCAATGACTAGTTAAAAGTAGCAAAACACTAGCTAAAATTTGCTAAAAGCTCAAATTAAGCAGAATAATAGCAAAAAAATTAAAGTACCATAAGTCTAAGTGCACGTTAAAAGTTGCAAAGACAAAACTGGCAAGTATGCTGAAAGCAGATTTTAAAACGAACAATGTTTTTAAAGCAGTTGAAGAGATCTTGGGGTGTTCCTGTGTGGAAGATATTTGTAAATATATTTAAATCTTTTGAAAAAGTCATAGCACACACCATTATCTGATTATCAGTATGAACTGAATCTTTTAATATGATATTGGCTAAAAATGCAATTACACTGCAAAAAAAATAAATAAATGAAATAAGTAAATACAAGAATGTTGACTCTGCATTCCCACAATAATAAAGCACATCTTACCTTATCGCAGTAGTATGTTTACCTAAATCTCAAACAGCCAATCAAGTTAAAGCCAGGGTTAATACCGGTCTCTGATTGGTCTACACTAGATAAAGTCCCGCCTCTTTGATGCTACAAACGGCCCCTCCCCTCTCCGCTCTCTGCGGTTCGGCTCATCAAATACACACACAGAGCACGCGGACTGGCGCAGCCAGCGGGAAAATACCTACAGTCACTTCCTCTCAAGCAGCCTACGCTACCCGTACAGCGCAGGACGCGAGGTGTGGGGGGATGAAACTGTTTTAAAACAGGTGTCAGTAACCTCTTCGTCCTGAATGCGGTGAACTCCTGCGCTTCGTGTCTCTGACATGAAAACACGCTGCGCGCGCCAGATTCCATCGCTTTCACTTGTCCTCAGCGAGCAGCCGCGATGGTTTAATGTCCTGTTTAATGGTCGAGGTACGTACACTGAATTCACTGCTGGCTCGGCTGCGTGCCTCTAACGCACTCTTTCATGTTTTTCTTCTCGGCGAGACCTTATAAAGCAGAACTATTAAACGACCGTCTCCTTTCATAAAGCTTGGCATTCCCATGCGAATATACGCTGATATTCTGCTGTGGGCAACCATGTTTTGAACCTATAGGTTCACAATGACTTCTTTGTGACAGTAATTTTATTTTGTAATGGAGCTGCCTCATTGTGCATTGTTTAGGCCTGGTGTATTATTGCCATGGGTCACGTCTGTGTTATTGACAGATTTACAGCAGTCCACCTGCAGCCTGCAGAACACATCCAACAGGGAGTGAAAGCAGCTCACAGGCAGAATAACTTAAGGTTTGCTCTTTAGGATCAATGAGTGCATGCAGACAGTAAGAAAGACTTCTTAAGGTGTGTAAAATAAGATTATCTTTGTAAACAGATGGAGGACAGGTGTGCAAGAGTTTAAATGTAGATAGAGTGTTATAGATTTTCTCTAACTAATGAAAAACAATCTTATTAGTAGGATTTCTAGCCTCTTAAATGCTTTTGTTGACAACCTTTCTAATTGGATTTTACTACTGAGACCTTAACATATAAGAACAAAAAGCTATGATATGTTTTCCTGTCTCTGTACAGCCTTTCAGGTTTCACCCGCTTGTTTTGAATATTGCAAAGGGGCTTAAAATACAGAGAAACTTTCCATTTTTATTATATTCTGTTAATCCCCAAATGGGGAAATTAATTTACAGCCGAGGGTTGCCACCTAAGGTGTCCAGGGAGCAGCTGGAAGGTTACGGACCTTGCTAAAGTGGGGTAAATGAGGGTGGAAAGGGTGGGTGCTTCACCTTTCTTCATCTGCGCCACCACTCATCCCCTTACCAAAATAAAAGCCTCAAAGAAAACTCAAAACACCTGGTATCAGACGTTTTCCCATCCAGGTACAAACCAGACCTGAAACTACTTGGCTTCTGGGATCAGGTGGTGTGTCTAGGATAATTCCAAATTGGAAACTTTCCATGGGAATTTATAGGATTTACCGTATTTTCTCGTTCCGGAGTATAAGTTGCATCAGTCAAAAAAAAGCACAATGAAGAGGGAAAAAACATGAGTCGCTTCTGCATATAAGTCACATTATGCATCAACGCTGACCCGTCGCGTTTATTTAATGGTCAAAACCTGGGTGGCGCGGCACCATCCATCCACCGTGGCCGGAGCCGCTAGCTCTCCAGCGTTCCTCCGCCTGCACCAGCTAAGTAAAGCGAGCGTGCACGGAAGGACTCGCTGTTGCAGTTCTTAGAAATCTAAAGCGTCAGTGAAAAATTGCGTTATGAATATGGGGAAAAAAACGTATATAAGTCGCAGGATTGACAAATCTATGCAAAAATCTGTGACTTATACGTCAGAAAATATGGTAACTTGTAATTGGGGATATTTTAAACAAACTGTGTTATATCAAAACCAAAATATAAACATTTTGTTTTGCCATACGGAGATAATGTTAAAAACAAACAATGAGTTTTACCCTAATTTTATGAAAGTAACAAATGTGATGACTATTTTTCATTTGATAATGTCACTGTCTGATAAAGGATTTTTACAGTTCTAGTTGTTGAAATCCATTTCTTAGTTCATGTACACAACTTTGAACAAAAATATTCACATTATATAAGGGTTTTTCATGTTTTTGTCGCTGTGATCACATAAAAACCTGGTGTGGTACCTCTCATTGCATGGTACAACAATGGAATTAGTCATTTTAGTCGAGATTGTGCTAAACCTGAATGAAATTTGCAGCCTTTTTTATTGAAAATGCAAAGCCAGGTGGTCTTAATAGTTTTGTTTCAGACAGCCAGTGGAGGGATAAAGTTCAGCTGGGACTCTAGGATGAGCTGATTAGTGATCATAGAGTCAGGAATCATGAAAATAATAAAAAAAGTAGAGTTAAACGTCTTGTAAACATGCCACAGTGACATGGGCTGGAGGAGTGAACAGTCATTGCCTCTGGGTTTGCCTCCATCCACCCATTTCCTGCCTGCCGGTAAACAACGTGCGCTAAATGCAAACCCTCCTACTCGGAGCGCACGTCTTTTCCTCTGGAGGAGGAAGAACGAAGGCAAACAGATAACAGATGATTTGTTGAGCGTTTGAACAGGTCAGCAGGTTTAGCTGCTTTCAGACAAATGTCAACGTGTATGTTTGTCCTGAAACAACACTGCTCGATGCACCCAGTCCACTCAGCAGAGTCACGTCAACCCATTATAACTATTATAGCCATTACTGGTTATTATCTGCAGCTGACCTCACTTAGGAAATGTACCCAATAGAAGAAGCCTGGGGTTGTGGTAGTTTGGTGGTCATTTCTGCTGTACTGTAACCCAGAGGCTGCGGGTTCAAACCCAGGTTGCATCAGGAAGGGCATCCAGTTTAAAACAATTGCCAAACTTTGTGTGTGAGTTTGCTCACTGTGACGACCCCTGCTGAAGGGAGCAGCCGAAGGAAAACAACAACCAAGTAGAATCCACAGTGCAGGACTTTGGGTTGTGACTTTTATAGGCTCATTTCAACTTAGGATGTTCTGGTTAATACCACACTTGTTATGTATTTGATCAATTTTGACAAAGATAAGGCTTTTTAAGTCTATTTGATTTTTATTTTATTTTTTTAATTCTCCGTGACATTTTTAGCCTAAAAGGTTTCCAGTAAAGCAGCAGCATCTCAGCTGCTTTAGTAACAGAAGTTTAAATAATTCAGGATTAGATAGGGTTCATTCACACCAGCCCTGTTCAGTCCTGCTTTAATCAAACTCTAGTTCATTTGCCTAGAAAGTCTGGTTCGTTTGGGGAGGTTTGAATGTGCAGTCGAACTCTGATATGGACCAAAAAAGCAAACTCTGGTCCACCTAAAAATCTAGGTCTCAGTCCGGTTGAAGTGAACTCTAGCGCGGTTCGAATGCAGTGTGAATGCAAGCGGACTGGAAACCGCTCCAAGAGCAGGAAGTGGACTACAGCATAGGGAAAACAAACACACATTTCTCTTACCTCATTCGGAGCCGTCAGCCGCCTTGTGTGAAAAACAACATTCTCCATGGTCTTCTGCCTCATCTTCTGCTCATGCTGAGTCCATTGCTGAAAAATGACTAAACAGAAATCCTAAAACCGCTAAAATTTGACACCACCCCATTTTTGTTTTTATTTCCAGAAGAGGAAGAGGAAGAAGTGTCTTCTTCAGAGGTTTTTGTGTTGTTTCCTTCAGTAGTTCTTGGTGCAGCGCCACCACAGTCGAGTGTGTGTGTGTGGGGGGGGGGGGGGACAGGTTGGCTCGATTGACTCAATGCCGTGTGAATGCAAACCGCACCAGCTGAAAATGTAAACAAATGTTCTGAATTTTAATCCCCAATCAAAGTGAGTCTAAAACACCCTTAAACTGAAGTTTATTCAAAAGCAAAACACTTTCTTCAATAATTTTCCAGACAAAATGTTCCATACTCTCAAATATATCCATCCATCATCTTTTGCTTGTTCCTGAGTTGGGCAGCGGGGACCGCAGTTCGAGCAGAGCGGTCCAGACATCTCTTCCCACAGCCACCTCTTCAGAACCAAGGCGTTCACTGGCCAGCTGAGAAACACCGTCTCCCTAACGTGTCCTGGGTCTTCCCCAGGGTCACCTCCCAGATGGACATGTCCACATAACCTCGCTAGGGAGGCATCCAGGGGTGTCCTTACCAGAGTTCTTGACCATAGTGAGGTAGGAATGTAAACCGACCAGTTAACAGAGAGCTTCACATTGCAGCTAATCTCCCTCTTCACCCCAACTGACCGGCACAGAGTACACAATACTGTTGAAGTTGCACCGATTCATCTGTCGATCTCCCGCTCCATTCTTCCCTCACCCACGTACAAAACTCCGAGATACTTTTACTCCTACACTCGAGACAGCACCTCACCCCCAACCCAGAGAGGTCGATTCACCCTCTTCTGTTTGAGGATCACGGTCCTTTCAAATAGGCGGCATGATGGTGCAGTTGGTAGAACTGTTGCCTCTCAGTGAGAAGGTTGCTGGATAAAATCCCAGCTGGGGATTTTTCTGGGTGGAGTTTGCATGTTCTCTCCGTGCATGCAAGGCTTTTCTTCGGGTACTCCTCCCAGACAAAAAACATGCATGATAGGCTGATTGGTAACTCTAAATTGTCCCTAGGTGTGAGTGAGAGAGTGAATGGTTGTTTGGCTCTCTGTCCCTGTGATGGACTGGAGACCTGTCCAGGGTGTCCCCCGCCTCTTGCACAGTGACTATGGGATATGGGCACCAGTGACCCAAAAGGAAGACGCGGGTAAAAGATGATGGATGGATGGATGGGTCTTATCTATCTATCTATCTATCTATCTATCTATCTATCTATCTCTATCTCTATCTCTATCTCTATCTCTATCTCTATCTATCTATCTATCTATCTATCTATCTATCTATCTATCTATCTATCTATCTATCTATCTATCTATCTATCTATCTATCTATCTATCTATCTATCTATCTATCTATCTACCTACTTTTTTTTCTTAGTGTGAGTATATTATCTTGCTTCGTGGTACTTTCTTTTGATACAGTGATTATTTGTGTATATTTGTACATGGTCTTGTAGTAAACTTGGCATGGTGTTGAAGTTCTTTTAGGATAATTGGTATGTTTTCCTTGTTATCAGATGTCAGAACAAAAAGATCTTGTGACTTGAAAATGACTCAAACCCATCTTTGATTCAAACCAGACCTCTGCCCCTGAGGATGAACCATGTACAGTAGAAGCTTGTGAGTAATCTGAAAATCACTGGCAGGGTTTGGCGCTGCGCTGCCTGACCCAGTTTTTCTGTGTCGCCGGCCAAAACACGGACATGTTGCTACTGGAAGAGCAGATGCCATTGTCACTCAATGCACCTACTCAGCTTTTAGATCATGACCAGTTCTTTGGGCAAAATTTTTGTTTTTAAATCAAATACATTTGGATTGGTGTATTGTGAAATTCTTTATCAAAAGGGCTCGTGAAACGGTCGGCACAGATATTCAGACCAGAAGGAAAAAATGAAAGACAGAAGCTGTTACTGCTAGGATAAATTAGTGTCCTTTATTATCCTGCCACAGAAAACAACCGAGCAAAAAAAAAAACAAACATGTACACTCGTACACTCTTAACACAGATTGATATGAAATAACTTCTCACCGTGACACTGGCCGGGAAGTCGTTTTCGACCCAGGTAAAGGAGAATCACATCAAAATGGCGTGTGGCACCAGCGCGCGTCTGATCCACACCGGACTTCCAAAGATTAAGTTGTTTGATACATTTCTTATATACCTTCTTCCCTGACCGGATCGCGTGAGAGCAGATCAAAGCAAGTTTTGATGGTTACCAGAACAACGGATGAGGAGCTGGTGATTTATTACAAAGAAGGAGTACGGTGACCTCAAGGCGGGCCAAGACCCTGAAGTTAGAGATACTCCTTAAACTTCCTAAAGAGGAAATACGCACTCCTCCATCCCTCTGCAAACCATCAAAGAATGTCCCAAATATTAACAAAGGCAACATAAATCATTCCCCCCTTTGTCTCTGTGACATGTTAAACAAAGTACAATCCCTAATATGTGAATAACACGTTGTATAAGTGTGTTTAAATAAGTATAATATAGGTCTAGATTGGCATAAAAGCATTAAAATAATAATTTCTATATCAATTGGGATTGATATACTATAAATGATACAAAATCAAAACTGAGGGTTTTTCAATTAAACCCTGAATGAGAGCGAATAGGACTGAAGATGAAATTAAACACTGCAGGAGATCTCGGGGGATTGTGGGAAAAGCTTTGCAGGCGTCCCACTGTTTTTTGCACATGAGTGTGAAAACAGTTTGGGGCCTCACAGATGACTTTTAGCACATAATCTATTTGTTAGCAAGGGTCACTGATGCTCTGTGAAAGCTGGGTTTGACTATTGTAACACTAACATGACTTCTCTCTTCCTTTTTTCTTTTCCCCGCAGAGATGTGGTGCGGTCACGTTTAAATGGTCGGAGCAGAATGTCAGACGGGTTCGCATGCTGGGTAAGAACACTGATCTACCTGAACACCTGAGTGCAAAAAGTGGGAGATGTCCTGCATGCGGTCAGCTACAGTTTGGTGTTGAGGGATGTTTCACTAAACATTTGGAAAGAGCTCTTCAGGTTTTCACTGACATTTTCCAGGAGTGACCTCTGTTAAATACAGAGACATATTTCTGCTATCTCTGTATATAGCGTTCATTCTGAGGGCGCATATTTTATTTTTATTTTATTTTGTTCTACAAATGTTCTCTGGTTTTTAGACAGCAGTCAGTAAACTGTTCCCAATTGTCGTTTCTGCTGTTAAGGATTTTAGTGGTTGCAAATCTATTTTATTCATTTGTGCTGACCCTTTAGACCCTGAATATCTCTGCTGAGATAAAAAACAAAAACTAGCAGCAGTTTTTAAAGTTTGCCAGTCAAGACATGTCTTATAAAAACACTGCTTAGTGTCACAATAACCAGGAGTGAAACTCCCCAGCACGAATTTCCCCTGCATCTCCTCATATAATAGAAAATAATGTGGATTAGCTTTAGTTACATCATTTATCCAACTTCCTGCCTTACAGTAGGATCTTTCTCTCAAATCCACCAGAAATTATTTGAAGACATATGGCGAGTAATTTATAGATATAGATATATAAGTGAGTAAGTGCTATGTGTTTTCATCAGTAGCTATGTTTACATGCGCAGAATTCTTTGACCGGATTGAAATGTGTTCTGTTTGAATAATTCAAATGTATCGTTTACATGGGCACAATCCGTTCACGATGTGCGTTTACATGCAACGGGCTTTGATTCTGAACAGAAGTACTGACATGCGCAGAGTGGTAAACTCTCCTTAAAAAACCACCGAAGAAGTTACTTCCGTGTAAACCATAGAAGAAGAAGTTCTCTTTCCGGGACGAACGTAAACACACTTGAGCGACAAAAATGGACCCGCGACAGGTTTTAATGACTGTGATGGAGTTGTTACTGCACTCCCTGCTTGAGCTACAGGCGAAGCAACGCATGCTTTTAGTCTTTTTTCTTCGTAGGATGAGAGCGCGGAAGGAAAAATACATCCGAGAAAGTTCTTTGCTGCCGGCAAGTTTAATGCTGCTGCCACTACCTCCACAAACGACCAGAAACCAGTGGATGAAAGTTCGAAGTAAAGACTGGTGGGAGCGTGTGGTCCTCACGCAGTTCACCGACCAGGAGTGGAAGCAGAATTTTCGCATGACACATCTGTCTTTCACAAAGTTGTGCACTTTGATGGAGAGTCATTAGCCCCAGAAGAGGTGACTGTTAGAACTCCAATTCCGCTCATGATGCGAGTTGCAGTTGTTCTGTATAAACTGGGCAGCTGTGCCGAATAGCGAGTCATTGCAAATCAATTTGGAATAAGTAAGAGCAGTGTTAAAAATTGTGTGTACATGTTTTGTAAAAGCATGGTGAGAGGGCCAATCAAACAGCTGATCCGAGCACCAACTGACATGGAGGCACTGGAGATCGCCAGAGCTTTTGAGGCTTCCCATCACATCCCTCATATTATGGGTCTCATCGATGGATCACACATCCCGGTTCTTCCCCCCTCTGATGGATATAAAGACTTTGTTAACCGTAAAGGCTGGCCATCCTATGTCCTCCAAGCTGTTGTGAACAACTGCTGGTAAGACAAATACACGCTGTATGCTTAAATAAACTTGTTTTTTTTTCTTTTTCTACCTGTCTATGCTTGATACTGTCTGTATTTATTATAAATTACTGTTCTTCCTCTGTTTTTCTCAGTTTCTGGAGCATCAGTTGCAAGATGCCAGGCAGTGTCCATGATGCCAATGTCCTGCGCCACTCTGACCTCTATCAAAGGGCTCATCTAATGCCAAAAGTAAGGCTAATATTTACTATATTGTATTTATTATTTCTACAACTATAAACTATAAAGTAGAGATACTTAGCTGTAAAATTATTTTTTTAAATGTTTGTTAGAAGCATGCCTTTAAACAAATGGTTAAATGTTGCCAATATTTGCTATATTGTATTTAGTATTACTACAACTATTACAGCTAAGGTTCTCAAAGTAGAGATACATAGCTGTAAAGTTTTATTTAAAAAAAAAAGTTTGTTTGAACCATGCCTTTAAACAATGTCTAAGTAAAATACTAAATATTAGTATGTCCTTTTTTTGCAGTCTGTGAGGAACATTGAAGGAAAGGACATCAGTCTCCTCGTTGTTGGTGACCCTGCATACCCGCTGTTGGACTGGCTCATCAAAGGATACCCAAACTCTCCTCGTCTGACTCCTCAACAAGAGTCATTTAATGTTTACCTTAGCTCAGTCAGGGTGGGCGTAGAGATGACCTTCGGGTTGCTGAAGTCACGGTGGAGAGTTCTTCTAAAAAGAAGTGACTTTCATTTCACCTTTGCTCCAAAAATGATCGCCACCTGTTGTGCACTCCACAACTTCTGCCAGAGGGAGAGGGATTATGGCAACAGCAACTGGTTGGAAGAGGCACGTGACCGTGCAAACAACTACCCTCAGCCTAACCAGCCAGCGAATCTTCAGTGTAGTGTTGGTGGAAACGGTGCAAGAGAGGCACTGACTGCATATATGTCCAAGTTTCCACTCCGTACAGACCATCTGCATTAAAGGGGCTTTTTAAATATACAATATATACTTGTCATGTATGTGTTCAGATGCAGCTAACATTTGTATAAAGATATTATAACAAAACGGCAAATAATACTAGTGTACATCGGAGCTCTTTAATGGACCAAACATTTTAATAAATTCTTGTAAACATTTTATATTGCTTGTTGGCACTGTGTGAAATGTGTTTCATTCTCAGTGCAATTTGAGGTAGCCTACATCACAAAAACATAAAAATTATACATTCAAAAAGTTTGTGCAAAACAGACAATGTGCACAGATCATCACATCTTGTAATGAAAACAGAAAAAAAACATTCTTTGGTCATTTAAAACTACAGTAACGTGCAATTCAACAGTAACTTCTTTATCAACTCATCCTGTACTTTCAGAATTACAATATCAAAAAATATCTATATCTATCTATCTATCTATCTATCTATCTATCTATCTATCTATATCTATATATATATATAATATGAAACCTTAGCTGCTGCTCAAATAACAAACTTTTTTTTAACTTTAGCTTAGGTCATGGAGGTGGTAATCCGAGTTGTAGCTTGGGTTCTGAGGAAATTGAGCAGACCGGCTTTGACCTGGGTATTGATGCTGAGGGTAGGGAGGAACTGGAGATCTTCCCTGTGGAGGTGGGGTCATTTGAGTCATGATGGACTTTAATCCATCAAAACATTGCCTCACTAGGCGCTCAGTTGAGAGTGTGTTTTCTTCTAAGAACCTTACAAACAACACAAAGTTTGTTTTCTCAGTCATCCAGGTATATAACAACAAAAAAGGTTGAATCATGTCATCTGGACTTCGTTTTTTTTGTTAAAAAGAAACGTTTCGCCCCTCGTCCAAGAGGCTTCGTCAGTCTGAGGCCTAGCCATCTGGTATTACCCAGAAGCCACCCTGACTCTTGTGTTTCAAGCCTGCCTCAGATACCCCTGAGGTCTGGCCTTTTCACTAATGGTTTCAAAAACACAAAGTTTGTTTTCTCAGTCATCCAGGTATATAACAACAAAAAAGGTTGAATCTTGTCATCTGGACTTCGTTTTTTTTGTTAAAAAGAAAGACTGAGGCAGGCTTGAAACACAAGAGTCAGGGTGGCTTCTGGGTAATACCAGATGGCTAGGCCTCAGACTGACGAAGCCTCTTGGACGAGGGGCGAAACGTTTCTTTTTAACAAAAAAAACGAAGTCCAGATGACAAGATTCAACCTTTTTTGTTCTTACAAACAACCTTTCTTCTCTTTGCTGCCATCGTTCCTGTTGTTCTTCTATCCATTTGTTCTGGGACTCTTGCATCTTCTGGTAGAAGGATTGCTGTTCGGTGGCCCAAGTCTGCATAACCAGAGTTCCCTCGTGGTCCTGCAATGATGTAAAACACTATTACTTGCTTGGATGCAGTACTAACATAATCTCTCTAAACACTGTATAAACATTTGTTACTGTTTTTGTCATCTGGAACACACAACTTACTCTTCCTTGATGTCCTCGTCTGTTGAAAGTTTCTTGGACTGTTGTTTGTTGTGTGCTGCTGTCAGCTGCTTCATCAAAGCTGGACTCATCATCTGAAAAAGAAAAAAATAAAGTCTAACTGGTCCCCTGGTATGTTGAAATTTGTTAGGTTAATTATCTGGTTAGTTGGGGTAGTGTTATAATCCACAATATAGGTCTCATGTTCTCTACTGTGTACAATCCTTGGAGGTATAATTATGCTAGCCCTAAAGCTACTCTTGCTTCTTATTATAATTACATTTTAACATATTTGTTGTATCCCAGTTACACCAAGTAATACAGTACAGAGGGTTAATGTGGCTTGAAGAGTATCTTACCGGAAAGGATGCTTTGTTCCGGATTTGCTTCGGGGCTGTAGTCCTCAGATTCCTCCTCATAACCTTGGTCCACACCGCTGCCTGTCGTGTTGGCCAGTGGCCGCTCTCTCATCAGTTCGTCCATCAACACGTAAAATGAAAAAGTGGTGGGGTCGGAGCCACTTCTCCCGTTCTTGTTCTTAGCTTGGTAGTACTTAGCTTTCAAGCTCTTCCAGCGTTTTTTTATTTGCTCAATTGTTCGATGGATTCCGGCTTCTTCCAGTTTTTCATGCACTTGTTTAAATAACTCCGTGTTCCTACACTTTCGACCGTCAAGGCGTTCGATAATTTTGAGTTCTTTTAACGTTTCGATTAGAAATGTTGTATCGCTCACCGACCAGTTCTGCTTCCCCGCCATGTTAGCATCTACACATTAGCCAGGCGGAAAAGGAAACGCGTAGAGGTACGCGTCGCACATGCGCAGTCAGGTCATTTTTTCACCATCAGATAAAAACGAACAGATCAAGTGTTTACATGCGCACCGATCGGGCCACGGATCGGCGTAAACCACCCGTTTCGATCTGATCACAAATTATAACGGATCGCGCCGAATACACAAAAAATAACCCGAACGGAGCGTTTACATGACACACTTTTGTTCCGACCGGCCATCTGATCCGGTTACTTTTGTCCATGTAAACATACCCTGTGTATGCTCTCATACAATGGCGAAATTAGTTCTCTGCTTTTAACCCATCACACCTGAGATACACCCAGGTGGAGCAGTGGGCAGCTATGCAAGCACCCGGGGAGCAATTAGGGATTAGGTGTCTTGCTCAATGACACCATGACATGTGGGCATGGCAGGGAGTTGATCCTGCGACTAGGCCTGTCACGATAACAAATTTTGCTGGGCGATTAATTATCTCAGAAATTATTGCAATAAACGATAATATTGTTTGAAATTTGACAATTTTCATTTTTTCATTTACCCTTTATGTACACAGGTAGTCTCACTGAGCCATGAGAACTCATTTTCAAGAGAGACCTGCTTAGGGAGCAGATGGGGGTTAAGGGCCTTGCTCATGGGCTCAGAGTGGGGTGAATGAGGGTGGGGGCAGCTGTGGGTGCTTCACCTACCCCACCCACATTTTTGATGTTGTCGGTGCCGGGGCTTGAACCGGCGATCTTCCGATCATAGACCCACCATCTCTAACCTCTGCTCCACCACTCCCCCCATAATTAGTAATTATTGTCAAATTTAAGAAGAAATGTTGGTTAAAATTTTTTGAGTGTTAGACCTTTTTTGACCACTGGATGGCAGTATAAGACAGTTTGAACTGAAGGATGGATAGTGAGGGAGCGAGCAGCGTGTCTCTTTAAGAAAAATGGGAGGGAGGCCCCTTGACGTGACATGGGCTGTCTCCTTCCTTTTTTCCAGTTCTCAAAATGGCAGGCGCTCGGTGTGGTTTGAGCTCTTTAGCATAGCATTTTTCACACAAAGCTTTTAATTAAAAAAAAACCTGTAAACAAGTTCTCAGCTTCTTTTTGCTGAAAAAAACAACTTTCTACACAAAGGCGCGGGTTTCAACCGTGAATTTTGGAGCTTCGACAAGACGGAGGTTTTTTCCTGAGGTCGACCTGTTAGCTTAGCTCGTAGTTTAGCTTCTCAGCTTAGCTGCTTTTAACGATCCAAAAACGCAAGTTTGGAATGTTAAAATAGATTTTAAAGAGAAAGGGTGGGGGTCACTGAAGAGCACCGGAGTTGAACATTTTGTCATCCAGTGTCTTCAATAGAAAGAGAGATATGAAGAAATGATAAAGCCGATAAATAAAAATGAGGTCAATAATTTTCATTTATCATGCGATTAATTGATTTATTGTTTATTGCGACAGGCCTCCCTGCGACTTTCTGGTCCAAAGTCGGCTGCCCTATCTCTACACCATCTCGGCACCTTGTCTGCTGTGTCATAATGTTTAAACCCAAAACGTTTAATTTAAACCCATTACAAAGATGACTTCTGACTAGGAAGTACTATCTGTACCAGCAGAACATGACACAACCTTCAGTACGGACCGAAACAACAGCCTTTTTATTATTTCTTTAAAAGCCTAGCGTTCCTTAAATGCACCAGTTTTACTCTAAAATGATCTTATATTGAGAAATGATGAGTTGCTTTATTGGTCAAATCTTGAAAATAGCATTATGTGTGATCTCACGTGGTATTCTGGGATTTTGTGTAATCTGGTAGCACTTGAAGTTTGTTCTGAATTACTCTCAGCGACTTCCACGTCAAATTTTAACTGAAGATCTCTAAAACGATCTGTTGCAGCCAGTTTTGTGTTTGCTGGTGTGGATCTGTAGAGGCAGCCATCTTGAATTGCTCTGACTTTAAAAGTTAACAAGCTGGACGTACAACCAATGGTTAGTTTTTGGATTTCATTAAAATCCACCCCCTGGCTCATGAGATGTTTTGCTAACAGTCAGATAAACAAAAAACGTGTTGGTGGCAGGTCATGAAATTAGAAGACAAACATATATTTAAGTAATATCAAATCATGAATACTTCACTTTTTTATTTTAAACAATATTGTAGCTATAGTAGATTGGTTTTAATGTGTTTAAGCTAGTCATAAAAATGTTTATTAATTTACACTAAAGCAATAAAGAAGTGACAAAACATATCTAACACTCAGCAGAGAGTCAAATAAGAGGACTGTGAGAATCAAACATTTTCATTCATTTCATTTCATTCATAAAAAAAAAAATATATATATATATATATATATATATATATATATATATAATGCGTTTTAAACACTTCCCACACTCTTGCAATATTCTAAACAATGTTTCTAAACTCTAAAGGGTCTAAAAGAGCACAGAATGTCTTGATCTCTGCTCTCTCTCTGCCACCTGCCAGGGCTTTTGGCCACGCCCACTTCTCCGCTGCAGCGTAGAGATGGCATGCTGCAGGAGGGAGCTTGTCCCTGCAGCTTTGGGCTGCACCCAAGTGCAGCAGGTGCTAAATAATTTAAAAGAATTTATTTTAAATGAAAATTCCATGCTGATCGTGTGGCTTGTCCACTTTGAAAAGCTGCCAAGTATCGAGTCCGCGAAAGTCAAACCGCGAAATAGCGAGGGACTACTGTGCACAAAACTATAAAGAGTGATAGCTGTTCATCAAGTCTTCTGACATCTGACTTTAACACACAACTGTCTTTGACTTTGCATCAAGTTTTTGAAGTTTCACTCTGTGAAGACCTCCGCTGCTGGCTCAGAGCCAGTTGTGTTTTAACTTCCTACTCTGCCCTCCAACCTTACAAACGAGACAACAGTGAACGATGAAGGCACATCCTCTGTGCCTTAAGTGAACAATGTGGAAAGGCTTAAAGTGGAGCTGAAGAGCAGAAGAGACTGGATGAGCAGCTGCCCGGAGGCCTGTGGAGAGGACAGTTTTCTCAGCGCTGAGCGTACTGAATGATTTAAACATACAATCTTAAAATCAAGTTATTTCTGAGCACAAGATAGCTTTGCAACTTTTCATATGACTGAGAGACTTTTAAATTTGTAATTGTGATGGTGATTGATCAAGGCTGCTGCACACTGCTCGTGTCTTCAGGGAACTGTTCACACACATCTCGCAGTAACGGTACAAAAACTAGTCCTTCTTGACAGAATAAATGCATTTTATACAAAAGTTAAAACATATTTTTGAAACATGAACTAAACAAACTAAAAACAAAACATTCTCACTACTGAAAACAAATATTAATTTTTTCAATGCATAAATCATTGTGATGACACTTACAGCTACATTTGTTTTAGTATTTATATTAAGGCTTTATAAACCCTTCCCACACTCTTGCAATGTTCTGAACTCATAAACCTACGTAATTTTAACAACATACATATATGTACTGTACAGTAGCTACTGCTAAATTTTATATGGGTACTCCCCAGCCTTGGTCTGGTTCTGGTCTGGTTCTGATCGGCTCTCTGCAGCCACTGAGCACTAGATGCTTTTAGAGAGAGACGGACCTTTGAAGAGCCAGCACAAAACCACACAGTGGTCCTGATTGTGTCTAACTAATCCAGAGGAATCCAGATGAAAAAAGTCCAGGTGAGCTCCGGAGAAGACACCGGACCTCCAAGCAACACCTCCCCACTCGAGAGGCTTCATGGGCCGGCAAGCAGCACTCAGATTGACCAGTCAGGCTGGAATTAGTTCTGTTCTGGTTCTGGTCCGGTTCTGATCAGCTTGCTGCATCTACTGAGCGCCAAAGTCACTATGAATAAGTACCAAACTTTTTAGTCAGTTTCGGATCAGGTCAAAACTTTTCCTCCATTTTTTGGCAGAAAGCAGCAGCTGGAAGCACTGTTGACTTCTGGGTAATGTAGTTCTTTTGGACTGGCGATACAGTGTAGGCTTATTGAAAGAAAATTACAAAATGCCTGCCTGTACTATGTTTTCCCATTAACTTTTTGTCCCGTACCGTCCCAATCACGTGAGTAATATTAAAGATCATAATAGATGAAGCGAGTCCGTTCAAACCGCAAAGTTGTTTTAATAGGGACCATTTTTAGTTTTACAAGAGGGAACATTTTAGTCCTGTTTGAGAACAAAACGTGGTTAGAAAGTGGAGCAAAAAGTTTGTCTGTCAGCTAAGGTTAGAGTCGGAGGCACGTCTTCTAAAAAGACAAAAGTGTGTGTGTTTTTTAGTGAACGAGTGGGAGCAAGAGTAGCTCTGTTTACATCTGCAAATTTTTTTTGACCAAATTGAAATGTTCTCATATTAAATAATTCAAACATATTGTTTACATGGGCACAATCTGTTCGTGACGAGTGTTTACATGCAGCGAGCTTTGTTCTGAACAGAAGTACTGACATGCACAGAGTGGTAAACTCTCCTTAAAAAAACACTGAAGATGAAGTTCTACTTCTGGGATGAACGTAAACAAACCTGAGCGCCCAAAATGGACCCGCGACAGGTTTTAATGACTGTGGAGACGTTACTGCACTCCCCGACTGAGCTACAGGTAATACAGATCATTTTGAGCTCTTTCAAAGTTTCTTGTAGAAATGTTGTCGCTCACCGACCAGTTTTGCTTCCCCGACATGCTAATATTATTAGCATTAGCCAGGTGGAAATGACAAAGTCGCACATGCGCAGTCCGGTCAGTTTTTCCACCATCAGATAAAAACGAACAGATGAAGCGCACCATGCGCACCGTTCAGGTTATGAATCGTTGTAAACCACCCGTTTCGTTCTGATCACAAATTATTTCGGATCGCGCTGAACAAACAAAAAATAACTCAAACGGGGCGTTTACATGACGCGTTTTTGTTCCGTACGACCGTTTGATCCGGTTACTTATGTCCATGTAAACATAGCTAGGGAGAGCGAAAGTGTGAGCAAGAATGAGAGTGAGAGAGTGAGAGTAAGAGAGTGAGAGAGAGAGAAAGAGAGATGTAAAAGTGTCTGTAAGTCCAGGATTGTTGATCTGCAGCCAGCAGTCCACACTCTGAGTTTATTTATCTAGATTCCCACTGACCTCGTTTTTCTCACAAATCTTGGAGCTGTTTTAATTTCAGTCTTTGTATAATATGAGCTAAACTAGTGGAGTTAAAGGAGTGGTGTCTGTCTTGAATCCAGACATTTTGAAATGACCTTTACGTTCGTCATTTTAATGTACGTATAATTTCACTGCAGGGAAAGACAAATCATTTCCCTGTAAGATCAGCTGCGTGTTTCCACTCTGTCACTGGACCAACATCATCTCTCCTGCTTCTCACATCTTCTCTCAGACTGGATCTTTTATCTTGGTGCTCATGTTCTAATGATTTCTTGATTCCTCGTGATGTCCGTGTGTGGATGTGTGTGTGTGTGTGTGTGTCAGTACTTTTGTCTGCATGTGATTGTTCCTTAGGGGAACTTTACCCTGATAAAACGTGACCTTTTCAAAAACAGATTGTACTTGCTTACAATTACTTATTACTTAGATTACTTGGATCATTGACTTGCTTTCAGTAGTTCCAGGAAAGCTTTTTTTCCTGCGTGTAGCATCTTAGGCAAGAAGGCAGCTATATCTGGATTTTAATTAGCTGCTGTCACAAAGCTGACTTTTGAGTGTCAGAAAAACTGATCGCCGCTACACATCCCAAAGAGAGACTGAGAGGAATCCGTACGTTGTAGCTTGAAATGTATGTGGGCCATCTTGTAGTATTTTTAGTTTCCTAAAGTATTGTTACTACGTCAACGTGAAGATTAATTATGGCTCGAAAAACAATGCGGGGAAGGTGTCGCTGCGTGTGTATCTGTGGCGTGTGTCACGTTTTTTCAAAACCACAAGGGATTCGCTCAAACCCTATTGGTCTGCTGTTGGGGCAGCAGCGTATAGGTAGAGTGAGAGCGTGTGCACGGGAGCGGAGAGGAGGGGTTTTTCCACTCGACAACAACAACACAGGGGATGCAGCAGAAGGACGGAGCAGCCTGAGTGAGAGGGAAACAGATTCTTCTCTGGGTTTTCACACTTTTCCCAGATTCGCCTCTTAGTGCTTCTTAGAGCTTTGTTTCCTTTCACCGCCCGTCCTGCTGCTGTTTCTTCCTCTCTTCTCGTGTTCGTTTTTTAGTTTGTCCTCCACTTCATCTTTAACGCCTGTCTGATGGTGAGCTGCTCCCTCCTCCCTGTTTTCTCGTCCCCTCCATCCTTTCCGTCCCGCTCCGTCCTCATTCACTTTCACTCTTTCTCGTCTTTGCTCTGTCCCTTTCTGCGCGACGCTGCGATGCCAGTACTCGAAGGTCTCTGGGGCCCAGATTTCAGGGTGCGGGACTCCGGCCTCACCGTCGGGGTCTATCCGGACGAGCCTCCTGGCTCGCGGGTGTGGGGACCTCTCAGGACCCCTCCTGTTAATTGCGGTGGCCTCTCGCTGGCCCTGGAGCTCCCGGCTCTTATACGGCAGCTCAGGGCAGCTTGGCGAGCTCGCAGGAGAGGCCCTCAGGGGCCAGAGAGAAGTGAAGGCAGCACCTGGACTGAAGCGGTGCGGGACGAGGCTGACGAGGGCAAGCAGGACCTGGAGAACAGTAGTGCACATCTGGAAGGTAAATACTTTATAAAGAAAGATGTCTGTGACATCTGTCGTGTTTTATGCATGTTGCTTTAGTTTGACGCCTCGTGGAGCAATCCCAGCGTAAAAGTGACCTATTGAGATTTCTTTGAGCTCCTTCTTTAAAACATAACTTGTTTATATTCTGGATTATAGAGCTTGTAGCTGCTCATTTTCACCACTCACAGTTGCAGCTCTGTGCTTTTTCTACATTAGTGTTTAATTTTCATTCTCCATTTTGACTCAACGCTGCACACGCTTGGGTTTTTGGACCTGCGTGTGTGTGTGTGACAGATTAACTTTGACCGGCGCGCCTCTGGTTGTACGCCTGTGTGTGTGTGTGTGTGCGTGCGCGTGTGTAAGTGACGTGGGCCGAGGCTCAGAGTCGTTCCGACAGACGACTAGATGAGACGGTGGAATGAGGGATTTGGGCCGAAAAGCCACAGCGTCCAGTAAATGAAGCTGCGGTACCATCTGCCGAGCTGCAGCTGTTCTGATGAGACTGATGTGACCACATCTGGATGTTGTTTACAGTCTGAAGTGACGAGAGGCGTGGCGCTTTACCAACCGATGCTTAACGTCAGGGAGTGTTTTTAAGTGTTCGATGATGAAAACGTCAGTGACTATTGTTCTGCGACGTGTTTTTGTGCTGATGTTTTGGCTTCAGATTATCTTGTGTCAGAGGCGTTTTGATAAAAGTAAAATCAGTGACGTGTGATCACAGGGATGGAACGATTTTAAGTTTTTTGATTTCACGATGAAGACATGGTTCATTATTTGGGGGATTCCCTGCGACATCAGCAGCCGGTGGCTTTCCCCATAAACTTCAGCAACCTCGTAAATAAAAGTTTCTCGCAGCGAGAGAAAGTCTGTCAGCAGCGTTCGACTGCAGATTATTTAAACGTGTCGAGACTCCGGGAGGTAACCATCAGCGGGGACACTGAGTCATCGTGACATTTACCCACAATCCCTGAAAAGAACCAACGTTGTGTTTTTATCAAGAGCAGACGACGAGTTTGTGTTTTCTCATTTTTATTTTGGAGTTTAGGATTAAAATTTCCACGTTAAGAACAACATTGAAATATGAGGATTAAAATGATCAGCTAATCCAGTAAATTAAGTCATCAAAGTAAATGAATGTTTTCTTTTTATTGTTGCTACAGTGTCAATTACTGTTTTCTGTACAATGTGTAGATTTTGTTTGGATTTCATAACTTTATTAGCTATTTGTTCACTTTATTCTTGATTTATTTTTTTTGTTTTTGTTTTAAAATGCAACAAAATAAACACAATACAAACTTCTATTTGATTTATTTTTTACCCATGGCTGTACTACTAAAAATCTGACTTCATAATCACCAAAAGATTAACAAGCACTCACTTTCCTATATTATATTATTTTTAATTGTTGGAATAAAAAACAGTTCTAAAATGATACAGAACTTCCACAAAGTCTTGTAATTTCTTCTTAACTTACTGCAGCTTGTAGATTCGCTTTCTTACAGCTTAAAAGGATAAAAAAAAAATTAAAAATTCCTGACGTGACAAATCTTTGCAGGGGACAACATAATTTGACCGAACTGTTTAGAGTCCAGTTAGAAACCATTTTTGATTAAAGCCTTAAACACATAGAAAGATGTGCTGTGTTTACAGCATGTTTTTGATGAGTAAACTTAGTTATTTCTGCACATACTTTTTAAAGTAGAGAGCTGTAAATACATTGTTTTAAGTGTATTTGTTTGTACTTAAATGTAGATTGGGGGGACATGATGTCACAGCCTACTTTGCACACAGAACCCACCTTTGTTTTGTGTATTGACCAACAACAGCACGACGTCAGTGTTTTGAGCATTTTTTTTTCTGTTTGTTTACTTCGTCTTGATTTGTTGCCAGTAAACTTTAGCTTTGTGCTCATTGTATCACTTAAATAAAAAGGTAATCAATATCAAATAAAAAGCACGTTTTGGAAGAAATTTTACGCTTGCCTATTTTTTGTTGTTGTTCATGTTGGTGTTACTGCCACCTAGTGGTGCTCTGTCAGTGTTTAAGCGTATTTATTATAATTTATGGTGCCTGTGACATGCAGTTTGTACAAATGCAAAAATTTGAACATTTCAGTACTTGAGAAATTTGGCACAATACACAGTATTTTAGGATACAAACATAATAGGAACCCATTTTGTCACAAAGCAGACATATTTTTTAATGTTTCATTGAGAGTGACGACAAAGGGGAACTGTTCAGCTTCTGTTTGGTTGCTTGATCGGCATGTTGAGCCATCGGCTGTGCCTATGTTTCTTCTGAAATTTGACAATAATTTGTAATTATTGTCAAATTTAAGAAGAAACGTAGGTTAATTTGTTTTGAGTGTAGTACCTTTTTTCGGCCACCATGGCAGTATAAGACTGTTTAAACTGAAGGATGGTTAGTGAGGGAGTGAGCAGCGTGTCTCTTTAAGTCAAATGGGAGGGAGACTCTTTGACATGACATGGGCTGTTTCTCATACCTTTTTTCTTTTCTCAAAATGGCGGATGCTCGGTGTGGTTTGAGCTCTTTAGCATAGCATTTTTCACACAAAACTTTTAATTTAAAAAAATCAGTAAACACGTCCTCAGCTTCTTTTTGCAGAGAAAAACAACTTTTTACACGAAGGCACGGGTTTTAATCGTGAATTTTGGAGCTTCGACAAGACGGAGGTTTTTCCCCAAGGTCAGCCTATTAGCTTAGCTCGTAGCTTAGCTTCTCAGTTTAGCTGCTTTTAACGATCCAAAAACGCAAGTTTGGAATGTTAAAATGGATTTCAACGAGAAAAGAGAAAGGGCGGGGTCAGTGGACAGGGCACAGGAGTTGAGCCTTTTGTCGTCCAGTGTCTTCAGTAGAAAGAGACATGAAGAATCGATAAAGCCGATAAATGTAAACGAGGCTGTTAATTTTCATTTATCATGCAATTAATTTGATTTATTGTTTATTGCGACAGGCCTAGTTACAGTGTAGGCTTATTGAAAGAATGGTGGCACCTGTCTAAAGTTTTTTTTTTTGTTTTGTTTTGGTTTTTGTCCTATTTGTTGGTTCCCGCTCTCGTTAACTTTTTAACCCGTACAATCCCAATCACGTGAGTAATAATAAAGTTGACAATCGTGCGTCGTTACGTTGAAAACCCACGAAACAGTGAGTCCACGAAAGTCGGAACAGCGAAGTATTGAGGGACAACTGTATATTATATATGTTATCATTATAATCGTGCATTGGTGTTATCATGAAAATACGACGTCACCGCCGTCTTGTCAGGACATTATTTTAAATGAATGATAAAATATCTGAAAATATTTGTAGTGTGGTAGGACTAAATTTCTGCAACATGTTCATTTAAAAAGCCAATAATAAACTTTTCAGTCACTCAGTTAAAAAATATTCTAGTAGAAAAAATGAACGTTGCCTTCATTTCTTTACTGAGTTGTATAAACGTCTGCGCTGAACTTATTTCAAGTGAATCTTATGTTTCATGAATAATTTGGTTCCACCAGTAAGATGTTGTGTTTGTGCATGGAGGACCAGCTGCCAGTAGGAGGACACATCATTCGCTCCTGCGTATCTAAACCAAGCTGTCTTTGACTCAGAACTGCTCAGCTTTGGGTTTTAACAGTCAACCTTTGAAAGGGGAAAACAGCCCAAAAGCACAAACGCCCACAGAGTCCCAGTGAATCCAAGTCAACATATTCTTCCTGTCAGCTCTTCTCCTGTCCTCATGCGTGGGTGAGAAATGTGCTGTCATGTTTTTACATTTCAAAACAAGGATTTTAACCTCCTTTTGCATGTGCGTGGACTCATGCGACAGAAGCGTTTGCGTTCGGGGGCACGAGGGTGGCTTCGTCTTCAAACACGCGTTCTGACTGATTCATGTTTCCACCGCGAATGACCCAGTTCTGTGCAGCATGAAAACAATGACCCAGTTATGGGAAGAGAAAGCAGAAAGAGGCGGTGATGAGAAGGACGGATCAGATGGAGAAGGATGATAGAAAGTTTTACAGAGGAGGTGGAGACAGACGGAAGGAGGGGGGGGGGGGGGGGGGTTATAAAAGAAAAACAAAGATTAAAAAATACCTGGAGGCGGGAGTTTGTATACATTTGTTCATAATCTGGGAGAGTGATCTTGTGTATTCCAGCAGATTATATTCTTGTCATGGTCTGCCAATACATTAGATTGTAAAAAAAAAAATAATGAGTTTATCCCCATTTGTTCCTTTTTTTGCACAAAGTAGATCATTTTAAAATAAGCTGCTTTGTATTTGTATTTGTTTGTCTGACTGTATGCACTAATATTATTATTATGACAATTTTCCATCATATTTTTGATGTCCATTTTTTTTACAAAAATCACACCTACCTGCAAAAACCGTTTGGCTTTTTATACACGAAATCCAGTAACTTGTGGAAGTTACTGCAAACTCATTAAAAGTTGCTTTTAGCATCTTTTCAGCGGGAGTCACTGAGGTGATGTGAACTGGCAACCTCTGGGGTATAATACGCTCCACTTCCTTAACCGCTTGTTTATAAACGATTCATTAGTTTTCACTTTGTTCAAGTGAAGATTTTCTGTGTACACTAGTCCCTCGTTTATCACGGGGTTTAGGGGCCCGTGCCCCCCGCGGTTCAGGTCTCTCTTGTAAATGAGTCCCAGAGGATCAATGGGATTAACCTGTCTAAATAAAGTTTGGATGAAAAGTGAAAACCCGTGAAGTAGGAATGCAGTAGTCCAAGTTCAACTTTCACTCCCAATCTCCCTCCTTCTGTGTAAATAAACAATTTAAATTTAAATTGAAACGGTTAACTCTTCACTCAGCTGATGCAGTACGGAGCAGAAATGTACTTCTTGATCATTTACACTGTAACAGCCGAACATAGAAGTTGTAAAATAATTTCAAATAACTTTTTAACACTTTTATATTTTGTGATTATGATGGTTTTATGATGTGACATACTTTTTGAAGTTTAAGTTTGAAGACAAAAGTCGATCGGTGCAGCTGGACAGCAAAGGCTGCTGCAGCCGGAGGAGAAATGTAGGCGTGGCAGAGAGCTGCAGGTGGCAGTAAGTGGAGATCATGACAGGCTGCAGAGGGAGCTTCTCCCTGCACCTGTGGGCTGCACGCAGGTGCTAAATCATTTAAAATTATTTATATAAAAAATAAAAATCCATGCCGTTTGTGTGGCTCATCCATCAATCAGCCAACTGTGTGTCATGTCCACTCTTACTTTGAAAAACTGCGAAAGAGCGAGGGACTACTGTACCCCCACTGCAGACCCAGTTCTGTTTGGTCTTTGTGCCTCTGGCCTTGTGGTGTATAAGTTACACATTTTTACTCCAGGATTCAGAGTGTTGTTGTGCTTTTATGTTCCTTCACAATCCAATGGGTGAACAATTGCAGTGGAATAAAAATAATTCAAAAACACCTCAAGTAGTTGTTTTCTGACAAACTTTCAGAATGACAGAGTTGTGTTCAATTCTCCGTGCGGATTTATTGTTTTTGTTATAAAACGTGTCAACAATCAAGACTTTTCACATAGAACATCTTGGTTCTGGACCTAAAATTACTTTCCGACTCTTAAGAGTCAGAGCAGCACCAACCTGTTACATAACAACTCGTCTTGTTGCACAGTGCAATAAATCCCTTTTTCACCAAAAGTCTTTTAGATCGGATGCCATGTTCTATTATTTAATGTCTTTTTTTTTTTTTCATTGCAGCTGATTTAAATACATTTTACAGCACAAATGATTTTGAAAACCCCTGTGTTTAAGGCTAGAACCCTCTGTTCAGTCATCTACCCAATGGTTCCCAACTCTGGTCCTTGAGGAACACCGTCCTGCATGCTTTAGTTTCCCTGTTTTGACACATCTGATTTAAATGAATGGATGATTAACAGGCTTCTGCAAAACACAAGGAAGTAATTAAATCACTGAATTAGGTGTGTTGGAGCAAGAAAACAATTAAAACATGCGGGATGGTGTTCCTCAAGGACCTGGGTTGGGAACCACTGAGTTTGACTATCGATCTTTAACTTTCTCCTCAGAGTTTCCTCTTCCTGGCTTTGACTGGCTACTTTCTCCTCTTCTGTCCTCTACAGCTGATGGCAGGCTGAACGCTGGGCATGCTGACGTGTTGCTGGCAGAGAGACGAGGCTCCTTCCCGCTGATCGACCTGCGGATCCTGAAAAGTAAGAGTCACACGGCCAGCAACAGAACTGCACACAGTTCAGAACCGAAACGGTTTTCTTTGTGCAAAACTTCCAGTTTGTCTGATTTGAATTTCAGCAAATCTAAGGCACAAATCAATTTTTAAAATTACAAATGAGTTGTGAAGTTTGGCAAAAAAAATTAAACAAAGTATTTACCTTCATTTATTTTATTTAAACGAGAACAAAGGGAATAATTGTCACTGTCTCTTTAATGAAAAACAGTAAATCTAGAAGATAAGACCAGCAACACACACAAAAAGCTCCTTACTATTAAGATTATCATTTGTACTCTTAATTTAGGATTTTAATAATTGATTTAAAAAAAAATAAAGATTACAGTTTGTAAGAGGAATTTGTTACCGGTACTACTTTTACTGAATATTATAATTAATTTATGGCATTTGAAAGAGCAAGTCTGGTGCTTGTGCAACATATTTACCTTTTAAATGATTTTAACATTCGGTGATCACACCGGTGTGGCCTGAGTTACATTTTCACCTTCTTTATTTCCTTGCTGACAAGGTAAACCCAGATTAATGGAAGGATAAATGTGTGTAAATCCAGCCTAAAGTCATTGTGCGTGCAGAAAGGGTCTGAGCTGTCCAATCAAACTAAAGCTGTGGGTTATAGTGAGGCGTCTGCAGGGTAGTTTTGTGTCCAAGTGGTTCACCTTTTTCTGTAGTCCGTCGCTATAGTAACTAAGGAAACAAACAATCTTTTATTAGATGCTTTAACATATTTGTGGGAAATTGTCTCATATGTTTGCATTAGCCATGTTTACTAAACTAAATCACTCTATGGTTTTATATTTGTTAAAGGCTTAGATAACTGATAAACCAGGGTTGCAGCTGAAATCAATTTAGCTCACGAGCGTCTGATCGGAGGAACAACTGGTATACTTTCATTTTATATTCTATGTTTATATTACATGTATATTTGTACATTTACGTTAAGCTATATAACATAGATGTTATGTTGGGACAAACTTCTGCTCCTCATTTTTTGTACTGTAAAAACAAAACCATCGCTCCTGGCAATCAGACAAGTCTACGTCAACTTTATCATTTTAAAATTGATCTTATAAGTTACAAATACTAACATTAAATTGAAATAAAATATTAATTTGTCGCTCCACCACGCTCAGTCCAGCACTACCAGAGTCAGTGCAGGATATAAACACGTTGATCTGCATGAGGAGAGGCTCTTTATGTGCGTAATGGTGACATTTTTACGTCACCGCAACAACTAAAAACAGATGTAGAGTTAACTTGTTAAATGGTTTAGTTTGACTGAGACTGCAGTCAAGTCATAAATTAGCTTAAAGAACAAAAGTGAAAAGCAGAGATAAAATGTTCACCAGTTTAAAGAACGCTACTTCTGTTAACTGTTTAACCAAATTCTAGAAATGATAGTGATTCAGATCTAGGTTTTTTTTTTTTTTTTGTAATTAAATTGGCATCTGCATTTATCTGAGCTGAACTCAACTTCCCAGCACCGCATGCATTTAACTTTACTGACGAACCGTGCCGAGGGTTAGAGAGCAATTTTTCACAGAGGACAAGGTTGATTTAGATACTTAAAAAAAAAAAAAAAAAAACTTTAATAAATAAAATCATTTAAAAATGGTGTTTTGTATTTACTTGGGTTATCTTTGTCTGAAGTTAACATTTGCTTGATCTGAAGTGTGTGACCAAAAAAACAACAATAAAACAACAGGATAATTTTTCACAGCACAGTACATTTGACAACACAGAGTACAGTACAACAATTAGGCCTGTCACGATAAATTTTGCTGGGCGATTAATTGTCTCAGAAATTATTGCGATAAACGATATTGTTTGAAATTGGACAATAATTAGTAATTATTGTCAACTTTAAGAAGAAATGCTGGTTAATTTGTTTTTAGTGTAGAACCTTTTTCGACCACCAGATGGCAGTATAAGACAGTACCAAAGGATGGATAGTGAGGGAGCGAGCAGCGTGTGTCTTTAAGAAAAATGGGAGGCCCCTTGATGTGACATCGGCTATCTCTATTGCCTTTTGTTTTCCGGTTTTCAAAATGGCGGACACTCGTTGTGGTTTGAGCTCTTTAGCGTAGCATTTGTCACACAAAGCTTTTAACAAAAAAATCAGTAAACAAGTTCTCAGCTTCTTTTTGCAGAGAAAAACAGCTTTTTACACGAAGACACAAGTTTCAACCGTGAATTTTGGAGCTTCAACAAGATGAAGGTTTTTTCCCCCGAAGTCGGCCTGTTAGCTTAGCTCGTAGCTTAGCTTCTCAGCTTAGCTGCTATTAAGGATCCAAAAACATGATTTTGTATCGTTAAAATAGATTTTAAAGAGAAAGGGAGGGATCAGTGAAGAACACTGAGCTTTTTTTTCATCCAGTGTCTTCAATAGAACGAGAGACATGAAGAAACGATAAAGCCGATAAATGAAAATGAGGTCAATAATTTTCATTTGTCATGCGATTATTTGATTTATTGTTTATCGCGACAGGCCTCTAACAAGAAGTAAATAAAAATAACAAAAATAATCTGTTTCCTTTTTACACATGCATCACTGTAGAGCTTTCTGACATCTAATGAGCTGGTTCATGATATTCTTATTTCTTGATTTCAGCGAGTGCGCAGCAGGAGGAGGTAGAGACCGGCACGAGGAGGAAGTTAAAACGTCTGCTGAGCTTCCAGAGATACTTTCACGCCTCCAGGTTGCTGAGGGGTCTGGTTTCACACACTCCCGGGTCGCTGCACCTCCTGGACGATGACTACCTGGGACAGGCAGTGGTGAGGACACAAACACAAGCGTCCCCCTCACTCTTTGTCCGAGTGAGACACTCTTCTCACCCACAGCTCTCCGTCTTTCCTCACAGCACATGTTGTCAAAAGTAGACGCGTGGAGCTTCGACATTTTCCTCTTCGATCGTCTCACAAACGGTGAGAGGATTATTTTTGACTCATTGCATTAGTCTGATTGATTTAATTACGTTCCTCGCATATTCCTGTCCCTCCCCTGTGAGTTGAAATGTTTTTCTGATTTTTCTGTGTTTTAGGTAACAGTCTGGTGACTCTCATGTGCCATCTTTTCAATGTTTGTGGTCTGATCCACCACTTCCAGCTGGACATGGTTAAACTGCACAGGTTTCTTGGTACGCTGTGAGAAAATCCTCCATTTTGTCTTGTTCTAAAGTTATAATAGCGTCCCCTCTTTTAGGTTCTTGACTAGAAATCTGCCGTCTCTGCAGCTTTAAAACGGTTAAACAGGGTTTTTTATTTGTCAAAACTTCACGAGAAGTCAAAACGAGCTTCTCTGAATACCAAAAAACATTTTTATTTTATTTAATAAAACGCATACACGGATCGTTTCTCTTGACTGATTCGCTCGTTTTTCCAGGTTTGGTGCAGGACGATTACCATTCCCACAATCCATATCACAATGCTGTTCACGCTGCTGATGTGACTCAAGCCATGTACTGCTACATGAAGGAGCCCAAGGTAAAAATAAAAAAAGGCGCACACATTCTCTCTGCTGTCGTGTCCCCTGTCATACACAGTAAGGCTGGAGCTCCTGCTGGACATGATCTATTAGCCGTGCTCCCAGAGGGATGATTCCCGCTCACTTGAACTCAACGGCACATCCATCTAAAGCTCAGAGATGCCTCTGAAGCCCTCTGACCAGATTAAGTGTCTTTACAGCTTTCCTTTTATTCAGTTATTGTGTTTGTGTCCTCTTGTTGCTCCGTAAAGCTTTTTGTGATTAACTCTATTTTGTTAAAAGCTCTAAATGAAATTCAATACAGCTCACAAGCTTGTGCGTTACAGAAACCAGGCACGCTGTCACAAAGTGACAAGTCTGCAGTTTCTCTGATCGATACGTCATTTTGTCCTTTACTCAGTATGAAGTGTTTTCCTCTGTGCTCTGATAAACAGCTGGGCAAGTCCTAAAGAACGATCTGCAAAGACGTGTGAGAACTTTGGTTCTGAGCGCTAAATTAAAGATCCTGTAAATGTGGAGGTTAACATGAACTTTGTAATACGCAGAATTATGTGCATTGTGCACTGATTTAGTTCTACCAATGTTTTGTTCCGAAGATACTGAAGGTTATATTTCTGCTGAGGGTTCTTTTGAATTGTTTGTTGGATAATTTAATTATCCTATCATCAGCTCATTAATTAAATAAGCCACACAGGAAAGGAGAAGATCTTTCTTAGTCCAGGTTTAATCTTGCACAATGGAGCAGCTGTTGATAAGCCAGGTTACAGGATGTTGCATCACAAGTTCTGCTCACAGGCAGTATAAAGAAGTGTCTTTTTATAATGGTACAAAAGCGAGGTCAAGACAACTCTGCTTTCCAGCTTAGGACCTTGAGTTTATCAGGTGAATGGCTCCATGCTTCTGCAGGCTCCACTTTGCAAAGACAAAACAACTCTTAGCACACGCACACGGTTCTATAGCATTTGCCATTAGTAAGTGGAAAACATCCATGACCTTTACATCCCCTGTTATTGTTTAAATTTAAAAAAAGTGACAAAAAGAGATGAATTATTACTGTACAGAATAAATACCAAAAATCCTTGTAGAAAATGTTCTGGAACTTTTTGGGTTCAGGGACCCCTTACAGGGGAGAAAAAGTTTCAGGGACCCCCTCATAACCCTCATGTTTATCAAATCATTTTCTTCAGTTTGTGTCTTTAATGCAATGGAAATATTTGTCTAACATAAATACTTGAGACCTGTTCTTTAATAGTGTTGATACGTTTTTTTAAACATGGAATATTTTTCATTCAAGATACACTTAATTAACAACATTTTTAATTTCAACTTCTAAAAATTACAGTTTTGAGAAAATTAACAGCATCAAAAAACACTTTAAAACTTTACCTATTCACATAATGAACATAAATGTGTTGCCACTTGTTCAAACCACTTTAAAACAAGTCGGGCTCCCCGTAAACAAAACGTATTGGGAAAAACCAAGGACGATTCAAGACTTTTGCACAGAACTGTATCCCTTTTCTTTGTCATTTTGTGATCAACATAGCAGCAAGGCTTTATTTCTAGTTCATGCAAAAGAGCAAGCTCGACTCTGTGGATCTTTGTGCGTTGCAGCTGGCCGAGCAGCTGACTCCTCTGGACGTGTTCCTGGGTCTGACGGCTGCCGCCGCTCACGACGTCGATCACCCCGGAGTCAACCAGACGTTTCTCATCAAGACCCAACACCACCTGGCCTCCCTCTACCAGGTACACGCAAACGTCCTGATGAGTGTCGGTGTGAGGGTGAACTTGTTCTGGGTTTATGTTTTGACCGGTCCTCGTCCTGTGTAGAACACCTCTGTGCTGGAGAGTCACCACTGGAGGTCCACTGTGGGCATGCTGCGAGAGTCAGGACTTCTGTCCCACCTGCCGGCTGACATGTCGTAAGAACACACGCAAACTTCATTGATGCTGATATGACAACATTTTACAAGTCCATGAAGAAGGAATCTGTTTTGTAGGCTGCATCAGCTTAGATTCTTCTCACTTTAATCCGTCAAAAAGTTTGATTTGTGTAAATCTTTAACATCAAATCAACCATTGATACCTGTGTCTTGCTGTTTCATGTAATCTGCTGCACAGCATTTGGTTTCATACAATTAAAAACTAAGCTGATGAAAATACCGTATTTTTTGGCACGTAAATCGTGTTTTTTTTTTTTTTTTTTTGCATAATTGATATGTTCTGTGACATATTTATGGATTTTTTTTCTCCCATATTTATAAACCAATTTTTGGCTGAGATATGACCGTTTTCATTCATTCTGACTGGAAAAAAAGAATTGAACAGTGCCACTTTCAGCCACTTGATGGCAGCAGAGTAGTAGTAGGTGTATGGCATACTGTTGTATCATGTAATAGGTAAACGTGTCTATAATGACAAATTCAAAAAAGTTCAAGACAAAAACAACTGGACTTTATTTATTATACTTTATACTTGATTGTTTTTGTCTTGAACTTTTTTGAATTTACCATATCCTGGATGACTGAGAATCTTCACCAGCTATTAATGACACAATCGGCTTGCCTTAGCCTCCCACCTTCGTTCTGCTCGCTGCCTGGAGCAACCTCAGCTTCATTTCGCTGCACCACTCCGGCGAAATGCAGCTAACGTGACCATTAAAGTGCATTTATTAAGTAAAAGTTCAACTGAGACACACCTTGCTATAATTTCAAGCAAACAAATAATTCTTTTAGGCGCTTTTCTTGTTAAATTTCCAAGAAACGAGCAGCGTTCCTCCTTTTTTTCCTCCCTCTGCGCGCTACCGGAGCACCGAGGCAGCGAATACATTTGAAATGCAGCTGATTTGACCGTCAAAGTGCATTTATTAAGCAAACACATTTACTATAATTTCGAGCAAATAATTGTTTTTAAGTGTTAATCTTGTTAAATTCTTGTTAAAGTCCTTCCTCCTGCGACCGCCATTTGACAGCCCATCGATTTTTGGCACAACACCGGCCCACATTTCTGGGTTGTCAGCGGTGACGTAATAAATGCGACGTATACAGTGAAGCAACTTATTTATGGATTTTTCCACTTTATTAGACATATTTGGACTGATGCGACTTATATGGCGGAATTTATGATAATTTGAGTTTCAGATTATTTTTCTTCTTTAGCGTTCTGGATGAAACTTCTCCTGAGCTTCGCCATGGCTCTAGTCATGAAGCCAAATCAGCTTCACAGAGGGAACACTTTATCTTTAAGCCAAATAAAAAATCAAGTCCAATAATTTGGAGAAGGGAATTATTCTGTTGTTTGCAAACTAATCAATAGTTGATTATCACATTGCATGGCTCACAGCAGTGACTAACATCATTTTCTCCTCCAAACTCTTCCTTGGTCACAAAACCTGCCTAGGAACGCACAAACGCCGCACAGACAGAAACGTGTAAAACTTTATCAGCTGCATTTTTCAGAAGCTTCAGTAACTTTTGTTCTTCAGTAAAAGACTAAACCCACATAGAAGTGGCATCTTTCTGACCATGAGCGAGATCACAGGTTCATTATCCTGTTAGAGGATAACTGGAGGTCGAGTCTCAGCGTTACTTTGTACTGAATGTTTGTTACTACCTGAAACTTTGTGTCCACGGAGTCTGGATCAAACAGCATCTCCTTGGACCATCTGAAACCTTTTGTATGCGACCTCCTGGAAGCACTGGTTTTGTTTGTGTAATCTTAGACTGAAGAGAGGGGATTTGAAAAAAAGTGCTTCTGCACCTGATGAAGTTTGATTCAATGGTTGGTCTCACTGCCTTTAAGGTGACCTTTGATGTGTCCTGCCCCAGTTTACCAGTATTGATAAATAACTTGTATCGTCGTAGACGTTATTGTACAAATATAACCTGAATAAGTCTGATTTAGTAAAATTATAAAAGTATATTTGATGCTGTCATTTGAGTTTACCTCTAACAGGAAGGTCAGAGGTCATTCATTAACATGTTCATCCAGAAGATGGGTCAGACTTGTGCTTTTTGTTTCGCTCACCTCTGCAGGCAGGCCATAGAGCAGCAGCTGGGGTCCATCATCCTGGCTACAGACATCAGCCGACAGAACGAATTCCTGCTGTCGTTCAGAGAACATCTGGACAGCCAGGACCTGGACCTTCAGCTGGCCTCTCACAGACACTTTCTACTGCAGGTAGAGCTCCCGTACGCTAGTCAATATGATAACTTTGCTGGAAACGTACATCCCTATGTAATATGTGATTTTTTTCCTTTTCTGGCCATCAGATTGCTCTGAAGTGTGCCGACGTGTGTAATCCATGTCGGGACTGGGAGCTGAGCAGACAGTGGGGTGAGAGGGTGTGTGAGGAGTTCTACAGGCAGGGTGAGAAGACGCCTCAAAGTCTGAATGAAGTATAAACAGACCTTATGTCTTTATCTGGCTCTAATACAAGTTGCATTTGAAGCACTGATGCCAAATCTGCTTTTAAAGCACCAGAAATGTTTGGAGAAAATGCAACTAAATGTCAGATTTCCTACAAAGAGAGGATGTTGACTTTGGAAAAACTGAATGATGGGGTGCTTTTATTCTGAAAAATAAACTCTCCTGCTTTATGGAGCAGAAAAAAGCTGAAATATTGAATAGAAGCATTCAGGTCGGCCACAGCACAGTGGAGGAGGGATGCGCTTTTCTTTCACTCCGGTTGATGTGTCACAACCCTCCATGCATTCATTCTAAAAATAAAAAAAACATCAAATGGTCTCTGATTAATAAAAAAATAATACTGTAAGAAAATAAATCTCTATAAATACACATTCATACATATTATATTTATGCTTATATATGCATACACACGTCTGTGGTGCTCAGTTCAGAATGATCTGACACACTATTTTTACGAGGACAAAAAGAGATTCCAGGTGATCATAAATAATCCAGCCAAAGTCCGTTTGATTTGATCCAGTTTAAGGAAATAAAAGACGTCTCTAATCCAGCTTGTACACGCAGATGGAGCTGCAGATTTCCAGTTTAGTTAGCAGCATTAGCCTCCTGGCCCGCAGAGCTGTAAATGCTATCGAGTGATTTTCGGCAGGAGAGAGAGAGAGTAGGTGAAGTGAGCCACACCCTGAACAGGACGTTAAAGCAAAAGGAGCAACATCCTCTCAACTTGCATTAGACCATGTAAGAGAAAATTCAGATTAGAACCTCTTCATATATAAACATCAGAGCATGTGTGATTAAGTTGCTGCAGTCTGTCAGCATCAGAGGGGATGTGGTGTCGGATATTTTAGTGCGGTGAGCTCGACGTACGATCCAACTTTCACACTATTTCTGCTCGTGAAACTGCCAAGCTGACGATAAAAAAAAAGCAGCTAATTCCTAAACGTTAGTCTTGATTTACAAAACATTTTTAGCTCAATAATCATTTCGAAACTTTGGGGCTTTGGACCAAAGTTCATGTTTAATAATCCAGGTGTAAAATCCAACAATGTTCAGTCAGGTCATCTGGATGGTTTCTTTTTTTTTATGTTGAGACGTTTCGCCCTCCGTCCTGTCGACGAGGGAGAGGGCGAGCACCAGAGGCCATCTTAGCACCAACATAACTGGATTTTTTCCACTTTGGAGTAAGCTGTTGGGGGAGAAGTATGGAAGCGAATGTCTCAATTTTCAAATTAAAATGGATTAATAGAAATGCTATTCATTTTCAAAATAAAGCTGAATGTTTTGACTCATAAATAACATTTAAAATAATCCAAACTGCATTTTCATTTTCTTCTCCAAGACTGCTCAATTTGTGAATTAATTAAAATGATAAATAATGTTTTAACATTTAATTTTCAAATGTATCCCTGTAAAAAGTGACCAAAATTCATTTTGAAATGTCAAATTTGAAAATAAAATGAATCGGCGCAGAAATGCTTTTTCATTTCAAAGTCAAAGCTGCGTGTTTTGACACATAAATTAAATTTAAAATAAATTATTTTCAATTTTGGAAAGTAAATGTTAAACGTCATTTTATTTATCATTTTAATTAATTTACAAACTGAGCAGTCTTGAAGAATAAAATGAAAATGATTTATTTTAAATGTTATTTATGAGTCAAAACATGCAGCTTTATTTTGAAAATGAAAAGCATTTCTATTAATCCATTTTAATTTGAAAATTGAGACACATCTGCTTCCATAGAGAATCAGTTTTGTTTGGTGTTTCCTCAGACTGATGAAGTCTTCTGGATGGAGGGTGAAGTGTCTTAAAACAAAATTAGAAACCGTCCAGATGACCTGGAGATTTGTGATCCTCAGTATTTTTTTTTTATTAACAACAACAACAAAAGAAATTCAACATAATATGTAAAAAAAAATGTATATGTTTTATTAGCGTTACTTTATTTCTGTAATTCTGTTCAACCGGCAGGTGACCTCGAGAGGAAGCTGAACTTGGACATTAGTCCTCTGTGTGACAAACACATGGACTCTGTCCCAGCGGTCCAGATCGGTGAGTTATAAACAGCACAACAATAAACAAACAAACAAACAAACATCATTGAAGACCAACCCAGAAGCTTGAAAAACGCTGCGTCATGTTTCAGGTTTCATGTCGTACATCGTGGAGCCTCTGTTTGAAGAGTGGCAGCGCTTCACTGAACCCAGCCCACTCAGCCACTTAATGATGGGCAACCTGCACAAGAACGAGGCTCGCTGGAGTCGTGTCCGACGCGCGCGCATGCCTCCAGAACCACGAGCTGACGAGCCCGAGCCCGAGGAAGGAGGCGGGGAAGGGGAGGACGTCTCTTAATCCCTCCTCGTGTCTCCCTGAGGCGTTTAATCTTCCTGTATTCCTGGAGGAGAGGAGTGTTTATCAAACTCTTTATTCCTCCCACAGCTGCTTGCTCATAGGCTCTGAGGCAGGGGAGCTCTGGAAGGCAGCTTGGCCAGGGTATGTGGAAAAACGGCTCCCTCTGCTGGAGCAGGGGATGAATGACGCTTTGTAAGAATATAAAGACTATCTTGAGTAAAAAAAAGAAGTGCATATACACACACATCTGCTTCAGATGATCTGAGGAAACATGTTAAAATGAAACGCTTCAGACTGATGACAGACATGTCGGCTGTGTTTACACAGTGCTGACAGGAGAATTCAAAAATGTAAAAAGCCTAAAGTATTTACAAGTCAGCTGGACTGAGAATTATACGACAGAATAATAAGAATATATAAATGAATATAATGACAATTCATTACGTTTTAAAATGTTACAATGATACGTATTAATCTCTTTTCACTGTTTCTTGTACATTTTTGTAGCGCTTGCACTCCCGTCGGACCTGAAGTGCGTTTTTAACTCTCAGCACTAAGTTGTGGTCGTGTGCAGCACACGGTTTGATCTGAAGTGACTTGGGTCGAGTCACGACTCGCGCTGTCAGCTGGACGTTTAGCGCCGAGTCACACACAGAGCCATTTGAAAGGAAAATAACAAAAAGTTCAGCCTGGTGTAACAATAAGCTGTATAATGTGTACTTGTACATACTGTGAAGAACTCCAGCAGTCCACATGCCAAAAACTCTCAGCAGTGTTTTCATCTTTTCTCTGGTGTTCACTCTGAAACAGCCAAACAAGCTCGAGCCTTAACCGCCACTCGGTCCATCAGTGAAACGTTGTTTTGTGTTTTCTGGACAAAAAGAAAAGTTTCACAGTATCGTGTATCACTAACAGTTCCTGCCTGTTCGTCCATATCAGCATCCTGACACGCACGGTACTGTAGCGGCTTGTTTCCTGATCAGTCTCTGTATCAGGGTCGGATTGGATCTTGGACCTGTGAACTTTTGCCAAGGTGTTCTATACTGTTCTACAAAACATCAGCTCACTGCGTTGTTACTGTTTTCTACTTCATTTTGCATCGCTCACAGCCGGCACTGTGCACTGCGTTGTGTCGTGTAGGAACTACACATGTATTTTATTCTGCACTTAATATCAAAGTATTTCTTACTGTTACTGGAGGGAGACGTTGACTCAAGTCCTATTTATTCACGCTCACTGGCCATGGTTGCTCCGCGACAATACTTCCTGCTGCAGCTCTTTGTAAATACAAGTTGATCCAAACATAAAATGTACAGTTTATTTTTTATCGCTTCGCTCCGGACACTTAAAGATTGTTCACGTTAATATATCGTCTCTGAGCAGGACGAACCCAGCCGGCGCTCAGAGTTTTATGTAAGATAATATTTAAATGTTCTGTTTACAGCAGGTGTAAAACTAAAGAATTTGCTCAAAGCTGTCCCTCTGAGGTGCAGAGCAACAATCAAACTGTCAGAAAGTTGGTTTCTGCCTGCAGCTCCGCCTCGTCTCGTTTATGTCTTTATTTTATGTGGTCTCATGGTTGTCGGTGCTGCGTTCACAGAATGTCCCCGAACACAAGCCTAACCTTGTCAAACACTTTTAACTTGTCTTTTTAAATACCAGAGTATCACGACTGAGTCTTTTTACAGCTTCCAGCCCTAAAAGCAAACCTGATTTTAACTCTCAGCCTAAAGTGTCGCTTTAGAAAAATGCTACCTAAATGTTCTTGTTGATTCTTGATAAATGAGCTGGAAGGCTTCAGGCCCGACTGTGTTTGAATACCTCTCTGAATGAACACTGTTACAGGGTAACCGAGCCATAACTGGTTTTACTTACTACTACGAATATGTACTGTATGTGTACATTGAGTAATATCAGCTTTACAACACGTGTACCTTTACATGACTCTTTGGAAATAAACACGTTACAGAAAATGTCAACGTCTTGTGTTTTGTTCATTTAAATATTCAACTCAATTGTAACTAATCTGCAGTTCAATTCAATTCACTTCAAAAATACTTTATTAATCCCAAAGGGAAATTAATTGTTGTTGTAGCTCATCTGCGGACTTAATTGCAGGTGCCAGGGGATGTTCTCAGTCCTCCCGCTGTTTTAAGCTGTGGTCAGGCACTCGAGCACAGCCTCCAGGTAAACGGTAATGCATCCACGGCACCTCCTTTTCAATTCATTTGGGATTTGGTGCTGTAGTTGAGGTCTTATTTGGGCTTTTGAGATGTTAATCAGTAGCTCCCAGTTGTAGAAAACCACCTTGTTGTTATGGTTACGCATCATAACAAATATCCAAATGTGAAAAAGGTTTCAGTAACAATCCTTCCAGCAGCACAGCATCTGATACCAGATGAAGTAATCATCCAAAAAAAAGTTATTTACATCCAGAAAAATTTGTAATTAAAGTTTTCCAAAGCAAAATCTCAGAATGAATGTAAGAGAGCTACTCCAACATGCAGCCGCCTTTTAAGCGGTGCAATTCTGTAATTCAGTTAAACAATTCGGGAGTTAGCTCATTTACAATTTTTATTTCTAAAGAGGATAGACCAGACCTTCTGATATGGAGTTCTGTGGAAAACATTAGTTTTATCCAAATTTACTCAGTTGGAAGAAAATGCTTAAATATGATTAGTGATGAGCTAATGGCTAGTCAGAGCAATAAGACCATCGTGGGTTGCTGAAGCTTAAAATCATGTCCAAAATAAATAAATAAATAGACTCATCGTAGGGGTTCCTGCAAACCAAAACGTTAAAAATCTTGCACAGGCATCAGTTTTGCATAACACCTTTATTCCAACAGAAACATGGCATTCGTGCAGGAAGTGCCCCAAACTGCTATAGCTAGCTGCCGCCGCCACTGTTTGCACTACAGCTAGCAAATGCCTATATAACTGCTAGCCAGGTTAGCCTTTAGCTTATGGGTTCAGTCCAAATTTGTCCAAACTTAGGTCGTTCATGGAGATATCTGCAACAGATAAGATATTAACTAATTAATAGTTCAGGTTTTCCTCAGATGCTGCTAAGTTCAATGTTGTAAATATTTAAAATTACAATAATGCAAATAAAAAATAATTTTCTTGGTTTGTGGGAACAAAAGGCAAAATTAGACCTTTTTTCTGCCACTCGGGTCATAAAAACATAATATTGAGTTAGATTACTTTTAAGTATTCATATATTCTGTTTTCATGACAGCTGTTTTGCAGACTTATTTCATAAAAAATATAATCTTGAAGAAAGATTCAAGCGTTTCCAAAATGAAATACTGAAATTAGTAAATCGGTTGCTTAAAGATAAAAGTTACAAAACAGAAGTCAAAAGCTAAAATTAATTAAACTACATAACAGTAGACAAGAGCTGCACAACAGTAGCTGAAGGCAGCAAAATAATAGCCAAAAGCAAAAGAGCAGTAGCTAAAATGGACGAATCTGATTCAAAAGCAAAAATGAACTGAAAAATAGCTCAATTTAACAAAACATGCTAAAATTAGCCAACTGTAGCTAAAAACTAACGATAGCTAAAGCAAGCAGAATCATAACTAAAAACTAAAAGCAACAAAGGGGTTGCTGAAAAGAAAAAGTAGCTAAATGATTGCTAAACGTAGCATGCTGGACAAGATTTCAAAGTGAAGAAACTGAGGAGATGTAGATGTTTGTAAGGGGAATTGTATTTTAAAAATAAAGTAAAATATTTTTAAAAGTAGAAACTTTACAAAAACCAAAAGTCACAGCAAAATATTCCAGGTCGAGCTGAACAGTTTTGATATATGGACAAGGAAGAGGGCCGGCAATGGAGGAGGGGGCCAAAGAGACCATCTTAGCACCAGCATAACTGGTTTGTTCCACTTTGGAGGAAGCTGTTGGAGGAAGAACCAGTTTTGTGTTGTGCATTTCCTTGACTGATGAAGCCTTCTGGATCGAAGTTGAAACGTTTCAGCACAAAAAAAAAAAAGAAACTGTCCAGATGACCTGACTGAAAAATGTTGGATTGTATACCTGGATTATTGAGCATGGACTTTGTTGATATGGATAGATTCAAAAAAGCACAAAGTTAGCAGAAAAACACACACGGGTAAGAAACAAGAGGAAAAGAAGAATGTGAACGATGACTCGGTTCTTGTTTTGTTTGAGGATGAGCCAAAACTGAGGTGACAAGAGCGCGGATGAATTATTTTCACCTTCTGGTCACTAGATGGCAACAAAGCAGTTAAAGTGGCTTCCTATGGCTGACTTCCTCCATCACTGGCAGTCCAAGGGGAGTCTTCCTCAGCTGCTTTGTTTAGAGTAAAAATAAGGCACAGGTCAGACGCTGAGTCAAAATGACGATTCCTGTGATGCAACCATGGCTTGGGGCCGTGAGCTTTTGTGTCAACAGAAAACCTTTGGAACTTATGAGGGGGCAGGGTGAAGTCCCCCAGCGTGAAGTTGTGTTTGGTTGTAGTTTACAGGCCAAACAAGAGAGAGGATGAAGATGAATGAGTCACAGCGTTGACTCATAAAACAAGTAGAGAGGATGCTTCTTTCAACCAAGGTCTCAAACAAAACAAGCAGAAGTTCACTTTCCCATACAGGAGACAAGAGAAAAGCAGTCAGAACAAGTAAAAAAGCTAAACACAGGCGAGGACACAGATGTGAGGTGGTGATCCACACCGCCCGCCTCACCCTCATTTGCATGACTTTGCAATGCAAATGGTAGATTGTGCAAGATGCAGAATCCATCAATAAATCCCATTACACTTCTAAACTTTATCTTGTCCATAAACACAACCGGAGGCCTGTTTCAAACACTTAACACAACCCACTCCCCGCTCTCACACACACCTTTTCAGGTCCATGTGCAGAAGAAGACATCTGCAGACCGGGACCCTTCAGATAAGACACGGCAGAGGTTTTTATTTTATTACTGATCTGAAGATGCTGAAGGTTTGATTTCAGAGCTAATCTGTTCTTTGAAGC